TTGAATCCAGTCGTTGTCTTCAAAAAAAAACCGACGATTGTGGGAAACCACTGTTTATCGGGAAATGTGGTATCTAATCGCCAAAACCAGAGGCACGAACCACCAAACCAAGGGAGGGCAAGGCTGAGATCAATTTAATTGAACCGCAGACCAGTAAAAATGTTAATTGGAAGAAGAAGAAATTGAAGCCCTTGAAAATGGTTCAGCTGATCGCATCAGTTAATTCATCGGTTAAATCCGTTATAACTGCAAAGGAGGTGAATCAACAGGTGTACAGTGCGGAGACAATTAGAAAGAAAACAAAAGCGGATGCAAGAGTGTTTTCTCCGCTGAGTTACCAATCTCGTCAAAGGTAACAGCCTTAAACGCGACCAAGCCCCCCACCTGCCAGAATGTCGCCCTGAAAACTGCAACAGGGTGCCTCCTTATGACTCCTGTAGACCATTTACATGAGCAGACATGAGCACTTACAAGCCCCACCCAGGCGTGTCAGGAAGGACCTGAATGATCTACAGAGAGGTCCAGCGATATAAGAGAGAGCCCCTAGATCATGAAATCTATCAAGCCGGTCTGTCTGTATAGCATTCATACTGATGCAGTTAACAATTATAATATGAATACCATCCTCGGAGTAAAAGGGTTTCCTTGTTATTTAGACCGTCATTTGATGGATAGATCTTTCCCGCCCAGTTTTTCAGGGAAGACGTACATGATCTAGAGAGGAAGGTTCAAAAATATAACAAAGCCTCCATGAAACATGAATAGTGTGTTCGAAGTCTATCCCATCCATTGCAGCTAAAGAACTCGGCTGTGTAGATAAAACATTGTAGCTTTGGTTTAACCACATTGTGGGTGCTGTAACAGTGAGGACATATCGAGCACAGCTTGGTTATAAGATGGAAACCATCTGTCCAATTATAGCCCTCGGCGGAGTATAATTCGAATAGTTATGGATCGTACTATGAAAGGGCATCGGCGAAACAAGCCCAACTTCCCCTCTATGAAATCACAGCAGAGTTACCAAAAAATAGTTAGATCAAACCATCAAAAATATTTTATTTAAGGATCCATTGTAAATGAGTAATCTTAAATATTTTGAACCGGACTCCAAATCAAGTGTAAGAAAGATGAATAATCAAATTGGGTCTGAAACGTATTAATTAATACCCCCCTTTATCAAAATGTTTCAATTTCTTTTTCAAACAAAAATCTTTCACCAAAAGTCTACTAATTGACCTCCAGAATGCGTCGAAAAAAAAAAAACAAAATTATTTTTATAAGAACAAAACAAACAATTTACAAGAATAAAAAATTATTATGACAAACAAAATTATATAAATAAATAACTGGAAAGTTTGTTGTTGTTATTATTGTTGCTATTTTATTTTTTGCAAGCATCAATAGTTCGTGTGTTTATAATTGTCTTTTCGTCTGCCGTCTTGTTTTGTATTTATTTTCTCAATTCTATTCGCTTTTGTTTGTTGGAGAATCAAATAGACGAGTTGATGAGGCGTTTGTATGGGTCTGTGTGGACGTGTACATTTTGTTGATCATTTGGGGGGAATAACAAAAAAATATATGGAAAAATTCAACAACAAATATCGTACACACACTGTCATATAGCAATTTTTTTTTTGTATCATAAAGCTAAGTAAAAAAGAGGCTACTACTGGTTCATGTAATGAGCAGTAGTAATGCTGTGATTGGACAGTCTAGGCACGTTGATATTGTTATGAAAAAGTCAACTTTTAGGGAATACGATATATCCGCGAAGTTTATTCACAAAAGGGATAATAAAATCTAACTTGCCAAAAAAAAGATAACACTTTCTGTTTCTTTTTTAAAGTAGTTTAAATCATGAGAAGTCATAAACATCAACCAAAAATACATGTAGTTCGGAATCACTTGCCATCTACCCATGAAGATGCCGACATAACAGGTGATTAACATGAATTCTCGGACCAAACCTTCAAAATGTCGAAAATTAGAAAGTAGCTATACATGGGGACTTAACAAGAAATAACATGCTCCACAGAGAACCGAAATATCAAATTGCAGCTGATACAATTTTTGACGAGAATTTAAACAAGCCACTATGAACCGGAATGCCAACCTAGAGCTGCGGCGATTGAAAACTGGTATCAGAAACGAAAAGTGAAAAAAGACACTAAGAACCGGAATTGCCAAATTACAGCTGATGCGATTGAAAATTTGTATCAGAAAATCGAGACGTATGTGGACTATACCAAAAGTGGACCTACATTGACAATTTCTTTCTGAGGAGTTAAACCGTCACCAGAGAAGCTAAATTGTCAGATTACAGATGTTTTGGTTGGAATTCGGAATCAGAATCCTACAAAAATACCGAAAGAAAGAAATAAAGAAAGAAAATCAAAAGGTATCGTCATACGGGGGCTTCCAAAAGTGGAGCTACATTAAATATTTTTGCGAGGAGTTAAACTACCTTCCGAGATGAATGTCCAAATTGCAATTATTCTAGGGAAAACTTGTCTCAAGCCCTAGAAAATATCGAAAAATATCGAGTTATATGGTAACTGGGTATTTACAAAAGTAGACCAAAAATGAAATTGATATGCAGAAAACTCAAAAAATTAAGGGGGTACAGCTATAGGAGGGCTACATCAAAAAGTGGACTTTTTTGCGAGGAGTTAAAAAATCCACAAAGAACACGACTTTTTAAATTGCAGTTGGGAATTGTGGAATAAATAGCGAAAATTAGGAGCTACCATCATATGGGATTAATATCTATGCCTTGGCAAATATATTAAAAATTGCGAGCTCTAATGTCATGCCTTGGAACCCTCTCTACAGTGATATCGCAACGTAAAGACTAACTTAAGCAAACCTCCGATATAAACTATCAGTCTGCAATCTAAACAATGACCCTTTCGTCATCCTGGATTTTCATCGCAAACTCGATAATTCCTAATAGAAAAAACTATGCAGATATGTCATAAAGAAGCCATGTTTAATCGTCTAAGGTTGGTCAAGCCCAATACGAATTGGGGTGACTACGCCAACTTAAACGTGGACCAAAACTACCCTGGCCTGTTTATGCCGCCAACTTTCTTCAGCTGCAATAGAGGGGGGAGGGTGACGGCATTCATAGTGTAATTGTTGATGACATTTGAGACCTCACAGTGAGAAAGAAACTGCCTGATAGGCTTCTTGGTCTAGAGACTCTCCCTTATATCATTGCACCTCTCTCTTTAGATCGCAAAGGTCCTTCCTAAAGTCGGGAAAGTTGTACTTATCATGTAACGGTTTAGATGACTCGTACGGTAACACCCCTACCGGTATTTCAAGGAAAGCAGAAAGAACACTCGTATTTTCACGTAGATGGTTCAATGGTGCAATGAGGAGCCGCCTTGTTGAAGTTTTCAGAGCACGATTCTGGCAGGTGTGAATACTCTTCCACTGCATAGTATTCGCAGACCACACTAAGCAGCCAGAACGACATATCACTTTATAAGAGGTTAACAAATTGTGGGGTGAACACACCCAAGAGGCCGAAATCCGGCTCTATAGAGAGAAGTATCTTCCAATTTAAAAGCATGGTTCGCAAAGCCCTTGTTTGTCGTATTCCAGGTTTGAAAACCGGAAGTTTTAACTTTTTAATTCTAGAACGCATCTTAGGAAATATAGATTGTACCATTATTATAAGAATTAAAAAGAGATAAATATTTGGTAGAATTGTCGATTTCCCCCAGTATTTTTGAAGAAAATCTGTTTCTTTTAAATCAATTTTGAAAGGAGAAGGGCCTAGAGCCCTGCCCGGTATTTCAAAAAAAAAACATGTTCGTTTCGAACCAATTTTGAAAGAAGGGCTTAGAGCACCACGTCAATCATCCTACCACACGTCCCCTTCTGGGTCCTCAGTACGACGACACAATTTTCTTCATCGGGAAGTCCGTACTTTCCTTGTTATGGGCCTCTAAGTTCCGTAAGTACCAGTGTTCCAGTCCGGTGTTTGTAACACTAACCAAGACAATATTTCTTTAAAAAATGAATGAATGAATTTTAGTGGGTAATCGTTCTTAGGCAGGGAATTTAAGACTATCGGCTATAGACGAACTGCAACACCGGCTACGTGACCAAATCCTTTTTATAAAGCAGAGCTATATTGGGTTTTGTGATCGGGGGCACTAGAGCTTTGCATTGATTTTTTATATATTTTTGTAGTCAGGACTCAATTTTCAGATCGATCTCCAAAGGGCCCCTTAATTTTATAGAAAGTTTACATTTTTATCGAACGTTGTTGATTGGAATGCCATCCCATTCATTGATTCCTGTGTATCCAGTATCTTTAAAAAATCGTTGAAAATCTTTCAGCCGCAGGCACATTATTTTGAGATTTTTTGCGTCGATTTTAATTCCGATTTTCGCTGACAATTCTGCATCCATAAAAAATATTATGTATTTTCAACGGAGCCAAGTGTTTCCCTCACTCAGAAATTTAATAGCAAGTTGAATATCAAATGAAAATCAAGTTCATCGTCTGTGGTTATCCATTCATACGGACCTCTTCCCCGGTACGTGACGAACGATTTGTAATTTGTTTGAAATTTGTATTTGCTAATCGAAGACGTGACAAAGGGCTACGGGTAAAAATGTATTTCCCCCTTATTTTAATTTATACAAAATTCAAGCGATCAGCTGATTTATTTCTAATGTCTCTTTGAGGTTACATTGTGCATTTCCATAATGGAAATCTATTTTCCAACTTTGTATTGTCATTGCACCTTACCACTCGAATAGAGGAGAAAAGCGAATGTGTGTTAGGAATCCATAACACACAACAAAATGAAAAAGGTGATGGTGATGATTATAAATACCAGTAGAAGCACAAATGACTGGCGAACAAAGAACTACTAACGACGTTATGTGCAATAGAAAGAATATATTTGCTTGCAATTTATCTACATTCTGCAAAAATGGAAGAAAACCAACAAATTTTACTGCAAATTAAATTAAATTACCTGTTAACAAGCAAGCCGTTGATAGCAGCAAGAAAATGGAGGTTTTATAAAACATTTTTGCTGTTGTTGTTTTTGCTGCAACTATGCAATCAGAATAAATTTAAATTCACCGACGACAACTTCCTTCTTTGTTCGTCCAAAACACACAAATTTCACAATCCAACAGTCAGCTAGCCAGAGGGATTTAACTTTGCTACTTTATTTTTCCAAATTATCGTTAATGCGTTGTAATTGAATGGAGGAGTGAGATTTTCCGTCTTCCTCTCTTCTTTTTTTGTTTTTTTTGCTGTTCTACTCTTTGCAATAATTGTCACCTTTTAACAGTGAGTAATTTAGTTTTGTTGTATTCTTCACTTTCAATTGTTTTATTTTATTTCTTTTGTACAGCGCAAAAAAACACAACAACGACGCACTCAAGTACTGTTTGTTCCAGCGTTTTCGTTTAAATAACAATCAGCAGTAAAAAAATTATTTGTAGGTCTGCTCCACTCAACAAAAAAAATTGATATGACAAACAAAATTTTATGCAAGGGTTGCCATGATACGGGTAATTGAAATGCAGTTTTGTTAGTGCTGCAACATTAACAATAGATGGTGTTGGTGTGGTGACAAATACAACACTGTTCATATTGCTGTGTGAGGGGTCGTGTTAATTTTCAACGTTTTGCGTTTCATACGCAAATCAACCAGAAAAACTAGATAAAGTTTAAAGGTGAAAATACGTAATGCCCCCGACGATTAAATTATTGTTTTTATGTAGATTTGTCATATATCTTACATAACCAATTGCCTTTGTTTATGTAAAATAAATGACTACCAAAATAACGCGTTTTATTAAGACATGTTCGGTTTAAATAAGTACGTTTACATTCGCGAAATCCACTCGATCTCAAATGTCAATCCCATAACATATACGTAAAATAATATCCACTAGATTTTTGAATTCGATTTACATGACTTCTACTCTATGGAATTAACATATGAAAACGTGTAGTTTAAATGCGAGCTTAAATGGTTTCGCGGACTGGTTAAAATTTCGAACTAAAATTGAACTAATCCATTTTCTTTTAAGATAATTTTCCTATCAGGTTGCACCATTAGCAGGTGTTTGAAAAACTATTGCTATTGCTTATTTTATCGGCAGTAATATTTTTTAATTCTGTACATATTGCTCTATTGGAAAATTCAGTTATCGCAGAAGAAACTCTTATGTGGCGTTTCTACTGCACTTGATTCGCTCTCTATTCGTTGCTTGACCCTTAACTATGAAAAAACTACTTAATTCTTCACACAAAATTTCCTGAGCGAACACTCATATTTTCACATTGTTCAAATCAATTCACTCTCAGAACAACGAAAAAATTTGTCCCATCCCTAACAAATGAGAGTATTTATCGAAAAAATAAATTATGACATTTAAAAATTGAAAATAGAAAAAATTAAAGAAATTTTGATAATTTTTGGGAAGACTGAAAATTATGAAAAAACTACAATGTTGAATAGCGTATGTACATTCAAACGAAAGTAAATTTTGTTTTCTCTCTCATCCGAGGTACGCATTTTGTCCACGAGTGGAAATTTCCACAGAAAACTGGAAACAAAATAGGCAATATTTTCAAAATGTTTGTATCGGCAGAAAAAATTGTTTGACGACTGTCTCTCCAGCAGAATTAAAAAACAGAAAAATACAAAAACATGTTAAAAATGTCAACATTTACACAAAAAGTTGAAAACATGAATGAAAATTATAAAATTAATGATATAATAAATCTTTGGGAGAAAAACAATCATTTCTTCTACTCATATTAGTGAGAATTTAATGTATTTTAGTATAAATTCCCATTAAAATCAACAAACAAAATTTTTGAAAAAATGAATTATTTTACTATGAATTACGAATCGTGCCGTGTGAACGGGTTAATTCGTGTACCTAATTCTGAGAGCGAACAACCATGGTAAAATGAAGAGAAGGTAGGTCAACTTTGAAAAAATTGCAAGTATAGAGGTCTTCCTGTTTGGCTTGTAATGTCAGAATCATGGTACAATGAATTCAAGGTAGGGCAGAACTACCATATGATTTAAATTTTTTTATTTTTCTGGCTTAATATGTCAACTTCATTTGCTTATGTGTGTGTCTTCTTTTCAATAATAAAAAATTGTTCAGAAAATATTCAAATTCGGTTGTTTTCAAAATCCTTATTGCAACGAATGCATCGACAAAATCTACAGTTTTTGTCGCGAAATAAACCATAAGACATATATAGAACATGATATTGAAAAGAAATTTTGACCATTCATTCAGTTTTCGCGGTTTTAAATTATTTATTCAAAATCAATACAACAAGTTGTTTGCTTTTTTATTGTTTTGATAGTAATTCTGACATTACAAGCCAAACAGGAAGACCTCTATACTTGCAATTTTTTCAAAGTTGACCTACCTTCTCTTCATTTTACCATGGTCAGAATTACTATCAAAACAATAAAAAAGCAAACAACTTGTTGTATTGATTTTGAATAAATAATTTAAAACCGCGAAAACTGAATGAATGGTCAAAATTTCTTTTCAATATCATGTTCTATATATGTCTTATGGTTTATTTCGCGACAAAAACTGTAGATTTTGTCGATGCATTCGTTGCAATAAGGATTTTGAAAACAACCGAATTTGAATATTTTCTGAACAATTTTTTATTATTGAAAAGAAGACACACACATAAGCAAATGAAGTTGACATATTAAGCCAGAAAAATAAAAAAATTTAAATCATATGGTAGTTCTGCCCTACCTTGAATTCATTGTACCATGCGAACAACGTTGTTCGGTTTTCAATGGAAACATGCTATTACATTCTTGCACTTCTGGAACAGGCCATATATTTTAACAGCTGTCGATAACAAATAGTTAAAATTTGTATCCTTGAAAAAATGTCAAATTTTAAAATTTGTAACAGAAAATTAAAAATAAAATAAACATAAAAAGGAAATAAAAACATAAAAAGGTAAGAAAAATTGAAACAACTTTAGCATAGGAAAAACTATTCGAATTTTCCGATTTTTTCTAGAGATATATATTTTTACCTTGATTCCTTATGGGTACCTAGTGGAGGGACATTGACATATAGGTCCCCGTTTTCGTACAGCCCCCATATAAGTACCATTGTACCGATATTCTGTATTTTGATGGTTTTAGCCACATTTTTCCACGGATTTGTCTAAGAATTGGTATTTGCAGTTCATTATGGGTTCTAGCTTCTGTGCGGAACATTGTATATATAGGTCCACGTTTCCATATGGCCCGTATATGAAGGTACCTCCCGATATTCGGTGTTTTGATGACTTTTGCCACATTTTCAATAGATTTGTCTAAAAAAGGTGTTTGTAGTTCGTAATTGGTTGTAGCTCCGATGCACGTTTTCGTCTAGTCCCCGTATAACGGTACCTCCCTATATTCGATATTTTGATGATTTTTGCCACATTTTTCCACGGATTTGTCTAAGAATTGGTATATAGCCCCCGTATAACGTTACCTCCTGACTTTCGTTGTTTTGATGATTTTTGCACCTTTTCCACGGATTTGTCTAAAAATTGCTATTTGTAGTTCATAAGGGTTCTAGCTCAGGTGGCAGAACATTAAATATCTAGGTCGTCGTTTTCCTATAATTTAAGCCACATTTTCTCACAGATTTGTGTGAAATTTGGTATTTGTAATTCATAATGGGTTCTACAACCGGCGTTAAAACATTGCCCATATTGGTCCTTGTCATCCTAGTCACATTAACCTACGAAGTTAAAGTGGAACACGTTTGAATCCAGATACTTTTGCATATAATTTTTTCCTAACCCAATAGTGAAGTGAATTTGGCAATTATTAATCACTTTCTAATTTTCCTTTCCTACTGTTACTACTGTTACTTTGTAATTACATTCAATATCAAGTTATATTACGACATATTATTTTGAACCACGCTTGTATTTACAACTTCAAAAAGCGCATGCGCGTAAAATATCCTTTGGCAAATGTCGCTTCCTTACTTCACTGTTCCTTCAAGTAAATGTCAAGTGTTTGGTAATAGCTGTTCATAACATTGACGTCATAACCGTGGGACAATAATAAAATTTCTTTAAATTTCGAGTGAAAACAAAACGGAAAACCAAAACAAAATATGAAATTAACATTGACACGTTATCGTATCCTTTTGGGTCTGCAATTCTCCTTACTTATTGCCGATTTATTTTTTAATACATTTGCCCATTTGTTGTTGCCGCAAAAGTTACAATTGACTATATTGTTGTTTGTGTAAGTGCATTATGCGTGTGGATTTTGGAGCACAGGATGTTATGTGAGGAAAAGTATTGATTGTTATTTTTGTATATTTTCAGGACAAAGGACTTGTTTATAATATGTGAATATTTGTTCTTTACATTCGCTGTCCATGCCACCTGTGTCTATGAGGTATGAAGAGAATAACAGAATTTTTATCAGTCTTTAGTTGATATATTTAATTCCGTATTACTTTCAGGTTGGAGCCACTCATGTCATTCTCAGGAATTGTAAATTCTTCCTGTTTACAATTCTTTTATATTTTTTATTGTCGGTTTCGCAACATTTCTGGTTCGTCTACCATGCCTTGTGGTATCCCATGTCGGATTGGTCATCAACCATGAAGGCTTTATCATTTGTTCAAAGAACAGGTAAGATATATTTCAGTATATACATTATTTTGTTCGCCAACCAGATTTTCAACCGAATCAGAAGATAAATGTGACGAGGATTATCAAAATACGGAATATCGGTAGGCACCGTTATATGTGCGCTATAGAAAAACATGGACCTAGATATTCAATGTTCTACAACCGCAGCGAGAACCCAATTTTCAGACAAATTCGTGAAAAAATGTAACAAAAATGAAAATGTACCATTATATGAGGGCTATACGAATGCGTGGACCTATACATACAATGTTCCGCCACCGGAGCTAGAACCCAATATGATCTTCAAATACCAATTTTTAAACAAATTCGTGAAAGAATCTGCAAAAATCACCAAAATACGGAATATCCGGCGTACCGTTATGTGAGGACTACACGAAAACATGGACTTATACATACAATGTTTCGCCACCGGTGCTAGAACCCATTATGACCTACAAATACCAATTTTTATACAAATTCGTGGAACAATGTGGCAAAAATCATAAAAATACGGAATATCGGGGGCACACTTATATGGGGGCTATATGAAAACGTGGACTTATACATACAATGTTCCACCATCGGAGTTAGATCCCATTATATCCTACAAATACCAATTTTGAGACAAATCCGTGGAAAAATGTGCCAAAATACCGAATATTGGGATGCACCGTTATATGGAGGCTATGCGAAAACGTGGATCTATACATACTATGTTCCACCCATTGCGAACTACAAATACCAATTTTTAGACAAATCCGTGGAAAATGTGGCAAAAATCGTTAAAATACCGAATATCGGGAGGTATCGTTATATGGGGGCTATACGAAAACGTGGAGCTATACATACAATGTTTCGGCACCGAAGCTTGAACTCATTATGACCTACAAATACCAAGATTTTGACAAATCCGTGAAAAAATGTGGCGAAAATCACCAAAATAACGAATATCGGGAGGTACCATTATATGGCGACTATACCAAAACGTAAACTGATATATCTTAATACCAACCATCCTAGACACAAAGCAAATTGTTGTGCCAAAGCTCTACGTCAAATAATGTGGGCTATATCGTGATTTCAACAGACAGCACTTATTATCCGATTGAGATGAAATGTTGGCCCAAGGACGAACGCTATTCAAATTTAGGAAAATCGGTTCAGATATAGCTATAGCACCCATACAGGGCGCGATAAAAAAGTGCAACAAAGTCAAACGCCATAATTTTTAAATTTTATTTAACAACAAGAATGTCGGAAATAGCATCACATTTTAGAATAAGTTTAGATTTGTTCGAATTGGTAACCTTTGGCACGATTTATGGCCTTCAAACGTCCAATGAAACCGTCACACGCTGGCCCAATGTCGATCTGCGGTATTTTGCCCCATTCCCTGCGAAGCGCTTGCTTCAGGTAATCGACACTTTGGTAATTTTTAGTGCCAACCTTGCTTTCCAAAATACTCCAGAAACAATAGTCCAATGGATTCGGAGAGGTATCCGGAGAGGAACCTCATATTGTAACCATTCTTGGGTAGCGCGTGCCGAGTCCTTTTGGAATGTCCAAGGTCTGCGGCCAAAATGTTTGCGTGCTCAAGGCTTTAATACACCCTCCAGAATATTTTCGCGATAATATTCGGCATTTATTCTGGTGACACGGTCGAATGCCGAATGGAATATTGCGATATGTTCAGCTCACGAGCCATTTTTCAGCCACTGCGACGCGGGTTTCGATCAAGTCGCTTCTTTACTTTTTTAACCAAATTCTGTTGATGTTGCTGTTTGCTTCCGTCCACTTCCTTGACGTCGGGCTACGCTACCAGTATCACGGTAACGAGCGATGGCAAGAGACACAAAAGATTTATTCACATTTAAATGCTGGAGTGCTCTAACGATAGCCACTTGTGGTTTTCCAGTCAAATATGAAGACGCTTGCATTCTATCACAAATAATTTTTTTTCTGGAAAATTGTCATCAAATTAAAATTAAGACAAATTAAGTTTGTCATTCCGTTTGTAACACCTCGAAATATACATTTTAGACCCCACAAGGTATATATATTCTTGATCAGCATAAAATTCTATGCGATGTCTGTACGGCTGTCAGAGTATCCATCTGTGGAAATCACTCTAGCTTCTGAACGAAATTAAGTAGATTGATAACATTTTACTCAAATGTATATTATGTCTGCAGTACTTTTGGTATTGAAAATGGGCCATGTTGGTCCACGTTTTTGTATAGCCCTCATATTCGGTATTTTGATGATTTTTGCGACATTATTCACCGGAATTGTTTCAAATTTGGTATTTGAAGTTCGTAATGGATACTACAGTCTATGACAGAAAATTGTCTGTGCAGGTCCACGTCTTCGTATAGCCCCCATATAACGGTTTCTCCCGATTTTCGGTACTTTATTGATTTTAGCGACATTCATCACCGGAATTGTTTCAAATTTGGTATTTGAAGTTCGTAATGGATACTGGAGCCTAAGGCAGAAAATTGTCTGTGCAGGTCCACGTCTTCGTATAGCATCTATGTAACGTTACCTCCGGATATTCGGTATTTTGATGATTTTAGCGACATTATTCACCGGAATTGTTTCAAATTTGGTATTTGAAGTTCGTAATGGATACTACAGCCTAAGGCCGAAAATTGTTTGTGCAGATCCACATTTTGGTATAGACCCCATATAACGGTACCTCCGGATATTCGGTACTTTGTTGATTTTAGCGACATTATTCACCGGAATTGTTTCAAATATGGTATTTGAAGTTCGTAATGGATACTACAGCCTAAGGCAGAAAATTGTCTATGCAGGTACACGCCTTTGTATAGCCCCTATATAATAGTACCTCCCTATATTGATGATTTTAGCTACATTATTCGCCGATTTATTTTTTTCAAGTTTTGCATTTGAATATTGTAATGGCGTATGACAAAAATTGCCTATATAGGTCCACGTCGTCGTTTAGACCCCCACATTCGTTCCAACTTACAGCTTTTTTACTTGTTTTTATTACAATCCATCTCGAAGTGATATCGAGCACTCTATAGCAAATTAAAATGTGTCCGTCAAATTTAATGGAAATCGATTCAGAATTGGAATTGACCTCCCAAATGAAACCAAAAAAAAAAAAAAAAAAAAAAAAATGAAAAACTTATCTAAAGCCAAATGCTGATAGGTGGTACGATCTGCTTCAAAAAAATTATGTTATTACGGGAGCTCTTCTAAATATGCATAGTGGTGTAGGGTATCATATATTCTGCCCCGCCCTTCTCTTCTGGTTTGGTTATAGATTTTGTAAAAAGCCTTTTCCCCAATTGTTTGCTCCCCACTTTACCTTTCTTCTTCTTCTCTTTCTCTTGCAGTTTCATTTTTCTATTATTACACCTACAAACGTACAGCCCTGACCATATCCGATCCAAGATATTATGAGGAAAATATTGACTGGATTGCCGAACAGTTAAGTGATAAATAAAGTGGTGGACGAGTTGTGTGGATTTAAAAAATCTAAACATGTAGTAATAAAATTGAATACAATTGTAAGTTAAGGAAATGTGTGAAAAAAAAAACCAAGAAAACAATAAATAAATAATAATTATATGTTTATGTTGTTACGTTAAAAGAGTTTGGATTTCTTTATATATATTCCTTTTTTCATTTATTTACATTTTTAAAAAAAAGTTTGGCAATAGTATATATATAAACTAATATTGCAGATATACATATTTATATGGTCGTTATATGTTCAACAGTTCTTTTTCAATAATATTTTGTCGAGCCCCGTTGGACAGACATTGATTTATTCTTAATTATAATAATAAAAAAAACATAAAGGTATGATAGATATGTAGGGGCTTAATTGGCACCAAAAATACATTGCAAATAAAACGGGAAGAGACAAACAAGATTATGACTAATTTTAAGAAAATTTATATGGACATTTTTCCATTTATCCTAAGCCAATTGGGTTAAAAAATTAACTAAAAAGTGTATAATTTTGTTTGGAATTCCTTAATGTTAAATTAGTATGTTTTCTACAATAATGTCAATTTTTTGAAAGGTTTCTTAAAAGATTTTTTTTTGATTTTTTGCTTTTCATGCACTTATTAAAGGTACACCAAATAGTTTTTCCCACGATTGATTTATGGCATTTAGACAGGTATTGGCATTTTCTGCCGTTTCAAATGTACACTTCCAGAGTTCACATTTGTCTTGGGTCTCATCGAGGAAATTGATGATAAACACATTATCGCTGCAATGTTCGACCTCAACTAAATTCGACATGAATTGAGTGACACACAATTCCAGGTCTTCGCTGCCATGGTCGCTGCTGGACGACAGCCAGCCAACTTTGGTCGAACTTAAATATAAACGGGAATCTGTGGTGAGCAGACAACAAATGCTAAACGAACGTTTGGCATTTTCACATGTTATCTCACAGCCATTTAGCACCGAGCACATATTCAATTGTTCATCCATTACGGCTGTATTGAGTCGCTTGAGTATTAGCTCATTGGGTTGGTATTGTAGATCACAGTTTGGAGGTAAGGAATTATCTGAAAAAAAGACGAAATTTATAAATACCAAATATATATACCATTCTAAAATATCTCCACTTACTTGCAAAGAACAACATCAACGAATCCGTTCTCAAGATGTCCTGCAGCAGCAACAAAAATCCACCCCAATCCCGCAAAAGAAAATGCAACCCGATTTTCCATGGCAGCAATTGGATACTCTCCAAACGATCCACTGTACAGCTAACAATGGGCCTCAACCACTTGGCAACATCATCGTTTTCTTCAGCGTAACTTTGCATTACATATAATTTACAATTTGACATTACCACACAGCCATCGCTCAATTGTTTCGTATTCTCATTGTAAATACGACCCTTGACAATCCACTTGAAATGTTCATCTTTCTCTTCGAATTTCGTTTGATAGAAATATAATTTTAAACGATGATCGATATAATTAAAATCGGTATAATTGAATTTGAAAGCTCTTGAATTAAGATCTGGATTTGCTGCTGTTGTTTTTGTTGTCGATGATATAGCTGTTGTTGTTGCAGTTTGTGGTATTACCGTTCCCGATTTAATATTGGATAGTTTTTCGGTATCAATGAGTTTTTTGGAACTGCTCATAAGTATGCTCGTCGATTGCATTAAGGCTGTAATGAAAGGAATTAGAATGTGAGATTATTTTGGACAAAAAATGTACGGGAGGCTCAGACTCTATCTATATTAACAGTGTGAGATGAAAAAACTGCAACCAACTTCAGACTGCTGTCATTTCTAAGCCACTAAGTCCAACAGCTCTTAAAATTATTCCAGTGACAGCTCATTATATTGTTTACAAGCGTACAAACGCATTTTGGTGAGAATTTTCCAGAAAAAAAGTTATTCGTGATGGAATTTAAGCGTGATAGCGTGATGTCTTTATATTTGGCTGGAAAACCACAAGTGGCTATCGTTAAAACACTGCAGCATTTAAATGTGAATAAATCTTTTGTGTCTCCTACCATCGCTCGTTGCCGTGATACTGGTAGCGTAAACCGACGTCAAGGAAGTGCACGGAAGAAAACAGCAACATCAGCAGAAATGGTTCGAAAAGTAAAGAAGCGACTTGATCGAAACCCGCGTAGCAGTGGCCGAAAAATTGTTTGTGAGCTGGACATATTGCAATATTCCATTCGGCAAATATTGAAAAATGAGTTCGGGTAAAGCCATCGAAATTCCAAAAAAGTTCAAAAACTTACACCGCAACAGAAAAAAAATAGACTCAAAAAAAGCTAAAGAGTTGCATCGCTTGGCCGAAAGTAGTGAACTGCCGCATTTGGTTTTCTCCGATGTGAAAACATTCGTTGTCCAGCAGTTTCGTGTTTACTTGCCAAAGAGGTCACCTGAAATGTGCACTGAACTCAAGCAACAGCCATTGTGATGCTGTGGGCCGCCATAACAGCCGATGGTCTCTCTCCGCTCGTATTAATCGACCGTGGCATCAGTATAAATGCCGAATATTATCAGGAAAATATTCTGGAGGCTGTATTAAAGTCTTGGGCACGCAAACATTTTGCCCGCAGACCTTGGACATTTCAACAGGACTTAGCACCATCGCACTCAGCACGCGCCACCCCAGAATGGTAACAAAATGAGGTTCCTCGCTTCATTTGCAGCGCACAATGGCTACCAAGATCAATCAATCCCCCAAATTATCACGAATATGGGACAACTCAGACTGAGTCAGGATAGCAGCCTCGACCTAAAGTAAAGGTATGACTCCTGTGGGATATGCTACGCTCGATAATCAGACTAGACCTTAATCGTCGGCAAATATTGAAAAACCCTTGCTTTCAAGGCTGGAGGCACAAATTGACGCTTCCATTGATAAAATTACACCAAAATTGCCAAATCGAAGAAAGTAAGGGACAAAAAGGCTAACCTGTAGAGGTCCCAAAAGAGAGAGACGACTGCGGAAAACAGATTTTCATCTGGAAAGTATTTATCGAAGGATACATTACCTATAAGTTTCTCAGAAGGTAATTAAGGCTTAAAGATGACGTGAATACTACGAGAACCCATGCATCGGCCTTCCGTCAAGGGATGACTCCTGTGGGAGATGCTAGGCACGACAATCAGATTAGTCCTTGTGGGCCAAAAACTGTATCGTCGGAAAATATTGAAAAAACCTTGCTTTTAAGGCTGGAGGCACTCGAGCTTCTATTGATAGGTTGATTTGGAGGAACTATTCTAACTGACGTTAAGGGAAATTTTTATAGGCAGAATCCTCAAATATAAAACAGTGGTAAAACCTGTCTAGGTCACAAAAAGATCGACGATTGCGGAAAGCTCCTGTTCATCTGGAATGTTGTTATCGAAGTTGGTATCTTTTCAGAACGCATCAAAGCCTGCGAAACAGGAGGTACCACACTCTAATTTAAACGAAGGTAAGGTACCGGTTAGGCGTGCCGAAACGCAGACCCCTACGAAGGCTGCGGGAAAGAAGAACAAACCGAAGCCTTCCTCAAAATCGATTCAGCCGAACTCACAGGGAGTACTATGTCAACTGATACTAAAGAAGGCACCCTGTTGCCGTTCTTAGGACGGCCTTCTGGCAGGACTGAATGCACATCGATTGCATAGCGCTTACTAATTTTGGCGAAGCACACTTGAGCCGCATAGTTTACCACCGACCGACCTATCGAGTTGTAAGAGATCATCAAGGTTTCTTCGTCCCCATGTACTGTCGGAGACCAGAGACTTGAGAACCCTGTTTCTACTTCTATTCTTGTCGCAGATAGCTGTGATATGAGCGGACGACTTAAAGAGTCAATCGAATATGACCCTAAGACACCCTGAAGGCGTGAAATGCCAGCAAGGTGGACGTTAAACTGTTTCGGAGATATCACCTCAGCTTGTGGAACTCCTTGTTTCACTCTGCTGCAAAATCTAAAAACGTGAATTGTGAGAGTATCTCCTCGGTTGGGAGAGATCGTACATGGTGAATGATCCTCCTCTAAGCCCTGTCACTCTCGGTGTGCTCTATAAATTACCGGTAAAAACAACTTAAGAGCCTCTCCTGTTACTCCGTATCTGTCACTCCTACGCCGTTAAATGAGACAGATACCCGATCATCCCTTTTTCCAGGATTCGAGAGCGTTTTAACCGTTGTCACAGTCCGGTACTGATATTGCAATGCTTCTGATGTTCTAGCCACTACAAGTGTTAATCGCATCTGCGACAGCATCAGTATTGATGCCACTTGGAAATGCCTGATAGGCTTCTTAATCTAAAAGCTCTTTTTACGACCGAATTCCTTCGTTCCCTTGACTGTTATTGTAAGCAATTTTGACTGTACTTGAATTCGGAAAGGATTTGTATGGAATAAAAACAACTACTTACCACCAAACACCGATAATCCATCACTGCTGCTATCATCCTTTTTCGGTTCCACAACATTCCCGCTATGCTCCTTCGCTTCGTGCTGCAAAAACTGATTGTTCAACTCTGCCACTTTTCCCTGCTGTTCATAGGCTGTACATATGCTATCCGTTACCGAACCGGATGAACTACTCTCTGTTAGATTTTGTTGCACTAATGTTGATGTTGAAGTTTTTTTCGTTTTTGCGCCATCTTTTTCTTCGCCCTGTTTTTCTTGGTCTTTGGTAGCTGTCATCGTTTCAGGATATTCTTCCGGTTTATCTTTGCGTGCATAATTAATCATATTATCAAATTCACGTTCCAAAAATGTTTGTGTATAACTCTGATCATCGATTGTCTCTAGATTTGGTATGTGTGAGATGCGTCTTTCTTCGGATGTTTTACGACTGGCAAATTGATCGAGAACTTCAATGCTAGATTGACTCGGATTGGATATGATGTCAATGTCACTTTCACCGTTTGTCTTAAAATCTAAATCACGATCTGTATTACTGCTGCCCACCAGGGATTGATTTGAATTAAACGAGCTTTCCGAGTTGGTTGTGGTGATTTTCGAGCACGATGATTCGTTGAGAGATGTGGCTGAACCTATGGGGGAAGGAGAAAACGAATTAAAATGGTATGTGTATTTTAAGTGACTTAATTGAAACGACAAGTCAAAACTATTGCAAGTTTTAGTTAAAACAATTCTTTCTGCTCGTTTACAGAACCTGCAGGAATCTACTATTTTAGCATTTTTTTGATATCATAAAGGAAATTCGGTTATTGTAGAATATAGTTTTTACATTCTTGCATTTCTGAAACAGACCATTCCTTTCCCAATCAGTTTAGTTTTGACTTATCATTCTCTTTATAAAGAAACATTGGTTTGTTAGTAATAACCAAAGGAAATTCTATATGCAAAAGCAAGATAAACATTCTAGGTTTTATGCCAATCGAATTCTTTTTCTTTTTGGAATTCAAATCAAGCCAATGCTTCTTTCTTTTTTGCATTATATAAATACATATCAGTAGTAAAGTGATATTAACTTTTTAGAGGTTGTTTCAGTTGTGTTGCTTGCAGTGAATTAGTTGAAAGCCTTGTTTTGCCTTTACCTTAGAACACCATTTCAGATTGGTTTTTAGAAAAAGATAAACAAAATAAAAAAAGGAAAGAAAAAACCAACATAAAAACCAAATAGCATACAAGAGATAAAGAAAATTTTTCAAGTTAGTTAAACAAAATTAAAATAAATGCATGCTTAGTATTGAATTGCAGTGAATAAAGATATTAACTCGTCCAATTTGCGACATACCAATGCTGTTTGTATCATCGGCCACTTCTATGCTGGCAACATCCTCTACATTTAAAGGTACAATGCTTGTGGGTAGTTCCTCCACAATTGAGGCAGGCGATAGTTTGTCCATTAAAATGTTGGTCTTTTCCAATGATTTGGGTATAACATGGATTTCGGCCACAAAACATGATTTACAATCAGGACAGCGGACTTCTGCAAAGTTACAATCAAATATTAATTAAATGTCAGATTATTTATTGGATTTCCTAATAAATACTTACCCATATTTGGTATTTTATTTTTAATTTCTTGTGAAAACTGGCAATTGCAGTTGACACAGCGATAAATGGTTTGATTCATTTCGCTTAAATCCCTTTGAGATAATATATCACGTAGCTTTTTCTCCAGTTCCTAAAAAAAGAAAACATTTTTAAATTATAATCTCAAAATTGGTGATTTCTGATTCTCTCGTTCATACCTGGCACAAATCTTCCTCCACTGTATAGATACGTTCTTGTTTATCCACTTTAACGGTGTCGAAATTCAATCGTATTGTATTTGATTTAATGCGATCACAAGATTCGAGAATTTTTAAACTCCATTTGTTTTTTGTTCTGCAAATTATGAAAAATTAATAAATATCCACAATTAGTCGGTATCCAAACAAAAAATTAAGAATTTGGGATTGAGGGATGTAGAAACAATGACATTTATTTTATACATTTCCCTCCAACTCAAAACATTGCCATGCACTCAACAGGTGGGTATACTTACTTTTCCGTCAGAGGATCCCGTTCTCTTAAGAAGTTCGATGATTTTGTTAAAAATATGGCCTCATTATGTTTTGATGTGTCATAGACTATGTACGTTTCTTCATCATCTTCACGCTCGGAAACTGAAAATATACAATATGGGAATTTTTTATTAGAGTTCGAATTTAGTTGATGTTGGGTATAATATTGGCAGCTTGAAGTAAGATAAGGTTTGATCCAGCAACCTCAGTAAATATACTTTAAATTAACATTTGTTTTTGGAAGGGATAACCAAGGGAAAGGTTCAATTAACTTGTTTCCTACAATATTATTTTACAGACAGATAGATGAAAAAAACTGCAACAAACTTCAAACTGCTGTCATTTCTAAGCCACTCGTCCGACAGTTGTTAAAATTATTCCAGTGACAGCTCATTATATTGTTTACAAGAAAAAAAATTATTCGTGATGGAATTCAAACGGGATAGTTTGATTTCTTTATATTGGGCTGGAAAAACACAAGTGGCTATCGTTAGAGCACTCCAGCATTTAAATATAAATAAATCTTTTGTGTCTCGTACCATCGCTCATTACCGTGATACTGGTAGCGTAGTCCGACATCAAGGAAGTGGGCGAAAAAAAAACAGCAACATCAGCAGAAAGAAAAGTAAAGAAACGACTTGATCGAAACCCGCGTCTCGGTGGCCGAAAAATGCCACGTGAACTGAACATATCGCAATATTCCATTCAGCAAATATTGAAAGATGAGCTTGGGGTAAAGACATTGAAATTCCAAAAAGTTGCAAGAACTTACACCAGAACAGGAAAAAAAATAGACTCAAAGGAGCTAAAGAGTAGCTTTGCTTGGCCGAAAGTGGTGAACTGCCGAATTTGGTTTTCTCCGATGAGAAAACATTCGTTGTCCAGCAGTTTGTAAACAAACCAAATGATCGTGTTTACATGCCAAAGAAGTCAGCTGGAAATGTGCACCTTCGGTTGGCCACCAGAACTCAAGCACCGGCCATGGTGATGGTGTGGGCTGCCATAACAGCTGACGGTCGCTCTATGCCCGTATTAATCGACCGTGGCATCAGAATAAATGCCGAATATTATCGCGAAAATATTCTGGAGGGTGTATTAAAGCCTGGGGCACGCAAACATTTTGGCCGCAGACCTTGGACATTCCAACAGGACTCAGCACCATCGCACTTAGCACGCACCACCCCAGAATTGTTACAAAATTAAAGTTTCTCGCTTCATTTCCAGCTCACAATGGCCACCAAAATCTCCGGATACCAACCCGTTGAACTATTGTGTCTGGAGTATTTCGGAAAGGAAGGTTGGCACTAAAAAATACCAAAGTACCGATCACCTCAAGCAAGCGCTTCACTGGGAATGGCCCAACATACCGCAGAGCAACATTCGGGCAGCGTGTGATGGCTTCATAGGCCGTTTGAAGGCCATAATTCGTGCCAAAGGTGACCAATTCGAATAAATCTAAACTTATTCTAAAATTTGATGCTATTTCCGACATTTTTGGGTCTGTCGGTACAAACATGTTTGGGTATTATAAACGGAGGCATCTCAATCACCGTTTGGTAGATAGACCCATACATGTAAGGAAAGACATTAATGATCTAGAGAAGAGGTTAGCCTCTAGATCAACAGGACTATCAAACAGGACTGAATGGCATTCACCGTACCACATGACCACGAGGAGAAACTTTCCACGTTTCCTAGTAAACTTAGCGACTGTATTCTTGTGGAGTAATATCAATACATGTTACGTGTAGCTTTCCGCTAATCAGACTCTAACTCTAAATTTAAAAAATCAGCTACCCTCACAGGCTTTAGCCATAGATCTTCAGGAGTGTTTTGGATGGGTTTGGTAGGATAACAGAAAAGATGCAGTGTATCATTTAGTTCTGCACATTCTTAAAACGATAGCTCTATCATGCGCGCAATTGGGCCAAAACTTAAAACTCGCTCAAACCTGCCTGAAAGGCTTCATGATCTAGAGGTTCTATCCTATATCGTTGGACCTCCCTCTCTAGATCATGCAGGTCCTTCCTGACACGCATGGTTCGGGGAGTTGTAGTTCTATCCACCATGGACATTAGTGCAAGCTGTAATTTTGATTGACCTTGGTTCCCTTCAATGCTGCGATCAAAATATTCCTCCGATTCATAAATTCAATTATCCCATCTATATTACCTCCATTGCAATTGAATAGGAGGAATGATGCACAATCTAAAATAGGAACAGCAACATTTGGACCAGTCAGAGAGAGAGATACGAGAAACCATGGAAACGGAAAGGTCATAGACAAAAACCATCATATACAAAAACCAACATCGAGTACTTAGCGGATAGAAGCTACAAGGTATTTGAAAAGGGGTTGTTGCATGAACTTCAATGGGGGCTTCCGGATGGGGAGATTGGTCTTCGTCTGAGACACGGGAGTAATCCGTGTTTACGGGAAAAGGGGGTGGCCACAGTTCAGAAAAGGGGGAAATTGTTAAAGATGAGCGGTATATGGAGGAATCCACTGGTGGGCATAAACCCTTATTTGGGGGTGGTAAGTTGGATCTGCACCCCAGGGCTGTGAATGTTCTCAGCTTTTCAAATGTAGTTAACAATTAAATTCTTGTGTTGATAGTCTGTAATAAAAATAGTTGGCTTGAGCGTTCAAAGTTACTTCTCGCTTGCTAGACTTGCCAACTATGATTATTCGTGCCTGCAAGAGAGTGGGTTAATATAAAAAGTAACTTACTAAATGCAATGACCATTTAAGGGAACGCATGGAAGAGAACAAAAAAATGTAACATAAAGAGTAGCAATGAAAATAGATGACAGTAAGGCAGGAAAGGGGTATGAAAAAAGATTAGAATTTTCGAATATGAAAGGGTAAACTCCATTTTAATTTTAAGCAAAGAAATTTAGGTTGAGAGTGCAAATAGGGTGATTTTGGCGCAATGACTCAAGAGACAAGTATGTAAAAATATGGCGTTTTAGCTTGGGAAGAGATATGGGGCTTTGTAATAAAAATTGGACGGATGTTATAAGCCTAGGTTGGGAGGGCCAGTGTGAGACAGATTCACCAAGTCTCTAGTGCAGAAAGGGGTTTGTGATTTTGAGTAAAGTAATACCTTTTTTTTTGTTCAGGTTCAAAGGGGACTGAGTGGGTTGGAACTCTACCTGAGTTGCACTGAGCAGCCGAACAGCTCGTCCCAAATTCTTCACAGGATAGAACCATAACAGAGTTTTTGTTGGATCATAGAATATTCTTTTTGAAATCTATATTTCTAGTAAATCAAAAACCCAATTAGAATCCTAAAAACACAAACTACAAAATCAAGAGCATTTTGTATCTACGACAATAATGGTCGGCAGATGTCCAGGATTCTGAGAAAAACTTTACGAATATACATCGGAATTTCTTAGGGGTTTTGGGAATTGCCAGGAAAACCCTCAGCCAACAAGGTGAACTAAAGAACCTGGCACTCTTGCGAAAATAACGTTTGTATGCATTAATACATCACTATACTTACATTGTTCCAAATCATCATTATCTGTCCGTGAATAGACATATTTCAAATGATCATCTTCGTCTTCACCTTCTTCCACCTTCTCAGCATCGTTATTTTCCTCATTTTCAGATTTTCTTTCCGCAATTGTATTTTCATTATCTGAATCTTCAAAGGGATTTCCCTGTTTACTTTCATCCAAAGATTTGTATAAGGTCTGTTCTTTGCCATTATTGTTAATCAAAGTTTGCGTTTGATCTAAACTTTTGTATAGCGAAGAATCACTTGTTTCCGACTGGGTTTTAATGGGTGATAACATTAATTGAGACATTGTATTGTCTAAGGTATTGTTGGTGGGTGTTGAGGTCATCGTTGTTGTTGCTGTTGTCCCTGATGCTGCCGCTGCTGAAATTTGTAGGTTATTTGTGGCTGCAAAATCTCCCGAAACATCTTTAATGTATTCTTTAAACATTGCACGGGATTTTTGTCTTTCTAGGTCAATATCTACTACTTGGCTCGATGGAGAGTTATTCATTATTTCTGCATTGCCAGAATGCAGCCATTCATTGCCATATTTTTCTCTTAGCTCAACAATTTGTCGTTTGGTTTCCAAATGTTCCTTGCAAGTTTCTTCGGGTATAACACTTTTATTTTTAACCAAACTAATTACAGAACTTTGCATAGCATCTTCTGCTGCTTCACCATTATTGCCGAGTTCCGGCTCCTGTGCGAAATCTTCAATTTCTACACAACGCACTTTGGAAGACTTTTTCTTTTGTTTAACTACAATTTCATTACAATTAGCTTCAGATTCGGAGGAATTATCCGTAGTTAACTTGAAGGAAATCAATGAACCCACACTGGAGGCGGGAGTATTTGAGCTACGTATTGGTGTTACACCCCCACCATGTGTGGTTGAAATGGAGCTGGAGGATGAGCGCATGGTATAACGATTTAATGCTCCCACCTGCCGCAGTTGATGAGTGCCAGTCAGGGATTTTTCCCCCTTCGATAGGGTTTCAAAATCCAAAACAAATTTTACCGTCGAACAATTCTTGTGCAAATACTGACATGTGGCCAAACGATGTTTGGGATGACAGTGTAGCGGATTGCCAAAGAGATTGAGAAACTTCAATGTAATTAAAGCACTTAGCGGCAATAGGTAAGTGTGGTCCAACAGGAAATTGTCAGATAAGTCCAAATCGGTTAAGGCATCCAATTTGACAATACCCATCAGGTCTTCCAGCAAATTATTGCTCATATTCAGGGACTGCAAACGTTTACAGGCATCCATGTGAAACTGGGGTATTTGCGTAAGACGATTAAAACTCAAATCCAATGTCTTCAAGTGCGGCAACCATTTAATGGCCTTAACTGACTGCAACTTGTTGTGCCTTAGATTTAGATGCTGTAAATATTGGGCAAATTCCAACGATGTGTCAACACATTGTAAATTGTTATAACTAAAGTCGGCATTTTTCAACTCATTCCAAACAAATCCATTCGAATTGTCTCCACCACAATGTGTGATAATATCATCTACTGTTTTAATACTTTTAATACAAATCAAATGTTCCAGCTGGCCGCGCAGACGTTGGATACCAGCCAATTGTTTTATATCGATTTTTTGCACTTCCAATCTCTTGAGGGCACAAAATTTCGATATATCGATTTTGCCATAATATTCATCACCGGGATAATGTACCAGACATAGTAGAGCGGTTTTCTGCACAAAATCATGTATTAATTGTAGATCACGAAAGACCGGCGGCTTGGAATTCATCGGCTTGAGGACTTGAAAATTTTGTACTTCACCCACTTCCAGGGAATCGACGATGAGTGTGAAGGCATCGTTGAGGGCACGCAAAAGGGAACCTGGGAAGAAAGAGAGAGAGAGAAAAATTCGTAATAATTTTAGTCAAATACAGCTTTATGTAACGAAATATAGTTATAAAATATATAGAACATATCCTATATGAATATAGTATTAATATATACCTACAAGTTTTCTATGCCAAAAAGTTATCATAACATGAACAAAAACTTTCAAAAACTGAATCGAAACCTTCAATAGTGTTTAAATCATAAGGTACATAAGGTAAAGGGGCTACATGATATTCCAAATAGGTAAAGTATTTGAAACCTGAAACGCGGAATTGGCTCAAAATTCTAAAAAAGGAGGTTTCTCTATAAGTGTTTTAAGTTGGAGGATGCGCAGCTACACTGGAGGCAGTAGTTTGTTTTTAACACCATTGGTTCATTGTATCCACCCTTGGAAATATTGCTATTTTTCATTTTATCATAGAATATGACCTCACGAATCTTGAAGTAATTACTCGAAAAGGGTGGCCGTTGATTTTGTGGCGGATATTTTCATACTTCTCGCATGGAAGAAGGCTGCAACCTCCGACAGGCACCGACACCACGATCGTAGAGGAGAGCACGGAATTCCGGAAAGGTAATAGGAGATATCGTGCCCAGCTTGGGTAGCCCCTGTTTCACTCTACGGTGTTTGGACTTCTTGTTCTGGAATTCTACGTACGACGGGGTCCACACATCCTTTTTCCCAGAGTTCGAGTGTGACTTAACCGTTACCCACAGATTATATCGGTTTCAATTTTGCTTCAATCTACTTTTCCGACATGTGCTTCTCTTTCCAACTGCTGACCTACACTGTCAGTTCACTGTCTCTGGGATCAGCAGGGTTGGAACGCCAAGGCTTATTCCCTAGTTCTAGCTGGCTCTGCTGGAAATTTGGTCTTATTTCAGGTATTCTACTAGCAAGTATACAGCGAACGGCTGCAGCTTTCATCACAGAGATGGGCATAATGCACTGTATTTTTAGTGCACTAATAATTTCACTATCACTGTTCATGTAGTGGTAGTGCAATTTTTAATTCCACTACCACTAAAGGGTTAGTGGTAGTGAAAAATAAATTGCGCTACCACTAACCCGTTAGTGATATTTAAAAACAAATTGCACTACCACTAAATTTTAGTGGTAGTGAAATTTCAATAGCACTACCACTAAATTTAGTGGTATTTAAAAAAACTTGCACTAAATTAGTGGTATTTCATAAAAAATAGCACTAAATTAGTGCTATTTAGAAAATTAATCAAATTTTATGAATATGTACTATATATTCTGAATTGTTGTTCCCTACTCACTTCAATAAACTTCATTATAGCTGGTATAATACTTATATACATAGTGCTTTTTTTGGGTTCGCTAAAATTTAGTGGTAGTGCAAATTTTTTTTGAAAAGTCACTAAATTTAGTGGTAGTGCTATTAAAATTTCACTACCACTAAAATTTAGTAGTAGTGCAATTTTTTTTTAAATATCACTAAAGGGTTAGTGGTAGTGCAATTTATTTTTCACTACCACTAACCCTTTAGTGATAGTGGAATTAAAAATTGCACTACCACTAATTATTTAATTCTTAGTGCAATAAAAATTTAGTGCAATATGCCCAACCCTGTTTCCTCATGTGTCGGAAAATCATTTCTGCTATCCGAACATCAGAAGAGTGTTCCTCTGAAGCGAAGGTTGGAGAACTCACCGAATTTTGGCAAATAAGCTTAGCCATGATTAAGGAAAATGCTGCGTAAGGAGTAGAAATCGGGCGATCTGCTTATGGAAACGATTGTTGGGAGAAGGTCTGCCCCTGAGAAATGGTGGGATTCCAAGTCAAGTCATTTATCATACCGGGTGACACTATGCTTAAATCGGGCAAACTAAAACCTTCTCTTCTTATTCGGGTAGGGCATCCTCCTTTAATTCGTGCAGTATGTGAACTAATCAATCTACTATGCCAACGCTGAAGGTTGAGTAGTTTTCTGAAGAGAAGGTTCGTGAACTCTCTGAATTCTGGCACTTGAGCTTTTTGGTTAAGGTAAGTGCGGTGCGTTCAGAGGTTATGAAATCGATCTGCTTTTGGAGACGATTATACGGGTTGCCAAATCACGTCTTTTTCAGACAGGGAGTCACTATGGTTAAATTTGACAAACTGTGACCTTCTCCTCTTGTTCGGGCGGGGACATCCTCTTTTAATTCGTGCAGTATGTGGAGCAATCAATCTGCTATGCCAACGCTGATCCACAACATTCCAATATAAATATCCGATGTATAAGAAAGGTTGAGCAGTTCTCTGAAGCGAAGGGGTTGGAACGCCGGGCCTTTTTACCTAGTTCTAGCTGCCTCTGCTGGAAGTTTGGTCTTACTTCAGGTATTCGACCAGCATATAGCGAACAGCTGCAGCTTTGATGATGTCTCGGAAAATCCTTTCTGTTACCCGAACATCTGAAGGGTTGGACAGTTGTCTCCGAATTCTGGCCATTAAGCTTACCCATGGTTAAGGAAAGTGCAGCGTACAGAGAGGAAATCGGGCGACCTGCTTATGGAAACGATTATTTGGAGAAGGTCTGACCCATGAGAAATGGTGGGTTGCCAAGTCTATCATTAATAGACCGGGTGACACTATGCTTAAATCGGGCAAACTGTGACCTTCTCATCTTATTGGGGTGGAGTCATCCTCTTTTAATTCGTGGAGTATGTAGAGCAATCAATTTGCTATGCCAAAGCTGATCCACAATATTCCGAACGGTTGAGCAATTCTCTGAAGGGAAGATTGGTGAGCTCTCTGAACTTTTGGCTATTAAGCTTTTCCATGGTAAGGTAAGTGCGGTGAGTTCGATTATCAGGAGATAGTCTGAGCCAAGACAAATACGGATTGACAGAGACTCACTATGCTTAAATCTGGCAAACTGTGACCTCCTCTCTTTTTCGGGTGGGGTCAACCTATTTTAATTCGTGCAGTTTGTAGAGCAATCAATCTGCTATGCCAACGCTGATCCACATCATCCCGCTGCATCAGAAAGGTTGAGTAGTTCTCTGAAGCCAAGGTTGGTGAACTCTCTGAATTCTGGCTATTGAGCTTTTCCATGGTTATGGTAAGTGCGGTGCGTTCAGAGGTTATGAAATTGATCTGCTTATGGAGACGATTATCGGGCGATGCGTTTGCCAAATCAAGGGGGATACTATGATTATAACTGGCGAACTGTGACATTTTTCTCTTATTTGAATGTGGAACATCTGCTCTGTCACCGATCATCCAAGCTAAGGCAGAACCTGTTTTGGAGAGCGAATTGTGGTAATCAACTGCTACTAAAAATACTAAAATAACTGCTGGGGCGAATATCCCAGACAAAAAACAAGGGAACTGATGAGGATTGGCAGCTCTTTCCGAAACCTGGGTATTCCCTGCCTTACGCTCTGTAAACATTACCACCTTTCTCCACCAATAAACAAACGTTGTTTTTATAAAAACAACAATAATGGGATTAAGCCTGGCTATTTTGCAACAACAAAATATTACTATATACCCGAAAAAACATGCCAGAACTGCTGTAAAAAATATTTATTATTTGAAGTCGTCAAGAAATGAATAAAATTGTATTCCCATATTGATTTGAGATTTGGATATTCTAACCCTTTGTTGTTGTTTAATTGTAAAGTTTTTGTTTTCCCATTTGTTTACATGCATGTATGTATGTGTGTGCGTACACCTGTTACTCATCCGTTTGGACTACGTTTAGAATCAATATAAACAAATAACATCCTAATAAATACAAATCATTTACACAAACAAACAACATACATAGCTCCATTTTCATTTCAATGAATGTAAACTAAATGATAAGAAATTAATTCTATGACCGTTCATATTGATGACAGAGGGGGTATATGTAAAATAACGATCATGTCATGGACACTGTCTACTTTATAAAACCCTCATGTTAAAAAACACTATGTTAGAATATCGAATATATAAAATTACCTGATAAAGTTAATGTCGATTCACAACTTAATATTTTGTCGCCATTATTCCTCAAGAGTTTGGCTAGTTCGGAAATCTTCTGTGGATCCATATTTCATGTAACTCTTGCTCTGCATGTGATGCATGCAAATTGTGTGGTCGTTTTGTTGGAAAATGTATGATTATATCTTTTAGCAAAGCATTGAACAACAATAAACTTATGCAAAATGTCAACAAGCGAAGAAAACAAAATTTGATTGCAGTCTTTGACGTTAATATAGCGCAGCGCACTGCTGGTATTCGATACGAGTTGATATTAGTCTGTGAAGAACATGAATGTGAATTGATCAAATCATGACGCGCGTACAATGTATGGATGGAAAACAAACAAAAGAATCCACAATAACAACCCAATATTTTGAGGGGCAGAGTGGTAAATATTTTGTGGAAATGACCACCAAAAACAAACACACACAAACAATTGTCTGCAAAATAAAAAGAAAGGCAATCATTGAGAAAAAATATTAACAAATATATGTGTGTATAGTTTATCTAGTATAGAAATATATTAAAGAATGTCATACCAATTTTTTACTTGTTTGTTTGTTGGCATCACAATCTGCTGCTGTTGAATGGCCACTTTAAATTTTCACACAATATTTAATGTTTTTCATTTGTATTATTTATCCTACTTTTGGTTTCTTTTGATTGTAATACTCTCACATTTGTTCAATCTTAAATAATTTTAGTTGAAATTGTGCGTAGAATGGACGTTTTGCTAGTTAATACGTTGCATTTGTAATAAATTTGTTTCAGTTTGTTGTTGTTATTGCGTTTGTGTTATTGTTTTTTCTCCACTCTAAATCTACAGCTGTTTTGATTAGGGATATGTAAATCGATATTGTTACAAATCGAATTAAGGTTGCTAGAAACGAATAATCGATAATTTTAATGTCGTCTTATAAATCGATTAATTCGATTTGCAGATTTATTTTTATTGAAAGGGTGCAGAAAAATAGAAGACTTTTTTGAGTGGCTTAACTGATCTGGTAGCTTCATCGTAAGATAACAATGGAAGTGTAGGTTGACTTATTTACATTTTGGCCCTTAATTTATGCATTTTTACCCTACGCTCCTTTGTTCTTTTACGAAGAAGCGCGCTAATAACTTAATAGCATGTTTCCATTGGAAACCGAACAACGTTGTTCGCTCTCAGAATTAGGTACACGAATTAACCCGTTCATACGGCACGATTCGTAATTTATAGTAAAGTAATTCCTTTTTTCAAAAATTTTGTTTGTTGATTTTAATGGGAATTTATACGAAAATACATGAAATTCCCACTAATATGAATAGAAGAAATTATTGTTTTCCTCCCAAAGATTTATTATATCATTAATTTTACAATTTTCATTCAAGTTTTCAACTTTTTGTGTAAATGTTGACATTTTGAACATATTTTTGTGTTTTTCCATTTTTAATTTCTGCTGGAGAGACACTTGTCAAACATTTTTTCTGTCGATAGAAACATTTTGAAAATATTGCCTCTTTTGTTTGCAGTTTTCTGTGGAAAATTTAACTCGTGGACCAAATGCGTACCTCGAATGAGAGAGAAAACAAAATTTACTTTCGTTTGAATGTACATACGCCATTCAACATTGTAGTTTTCATTCATAATTTTCAGTCTTCCCAAAAATTTTTAAATTTCATCAATTTTATCTATTTTTAATTTTTAAATGTCATAATTTATTTTTTCGATAAATGCTCTCATTTGTTAGGGATGGGACATATTTTTTCGTTGTTCTGAGAGTAATTTGATTTGAACAACTTACAAATATGAGTGTTCGCTCAGTAAAATTTGTGTGAAGAATTAAGTTGTTTTTTCATAGTTAAGGGTCAAACAACGAATAGAGAGCGAATCAAGTGTAGTGGAAACGCCACATAAGCCAGTTAAAAAAGCCTATGCATCTGCACCTTAAGGTGGGAATACATATAACGCTTTTTTGACTGACTTAAGTCATCGGCTGGCTCTTTTGTAAAAGAACAAAGGAGAGTAGGTAAGCAAGTATAAATTATGGACCTGAAGTTGAACTGTCAAATTAAAACTGCTTTGCTCTATTACGAAGGGGCCAGCCTATAGCTTAAGTCATTAAAAAAGCTCTTTATGTACTGTACTTTAAACATAAAGCTGGAAATACATAAAGCGCTTATCTGGCTGGCTTAAGTCATCGGCTGGCTTCTTCGTAAATGAACAAAGAAGGTTTAGGTTTACTTAGTTCGATTTTGGCCCTAGGCTCCTTTGTTCATTTCCGAAGAAGCCAGCCGATGACTTAAGCCAGCCAGATAAGCGCTTTATGTATTTCCACCCTAATAATATATTGTCTTTTATACCCTCATGTCAGATCCACAAAGTATATATATTCTTGATCACCGTAAAATTCTAATTCGATTTAGCAATGCACGTCTGTCTGTTGTAATCACGTTATCTTTGGAACGAATTGAGGTAAAAGGCTAAAATCTTTCACACATGTGTATTTTGCCAGTCGGTCCACGTTTTCGTATAGCCCCATATAACGGTACCTCTCAATGTTCGGCATTTTTATGGTTTTAACGACACTATACAACGAAATTGTTTCTAATTTCGTATTGGAAGATCTTAAGCTGGGAATACATAAAGCGCTTATTTGACTGGCTTAAGTCATCGGCTGGCTTCTTCGTAGAACAAAGGAGTTTTAGGTTGACTTAGTTCGCTTTTGACCCTAAGCTCCTTTGTTCATTTCCGAAGAAGCCAGCCGATGACTTAAGCCAGCCAAATAAGCGCTTTATGTATTTCCAGCTTTATGGATATGCATGTCCACGTCTTCGTATAGCCTTCATATAATGATGTATCCCGATATTCGGTATTTTGATGACTTTAGCGACGGTATTCACCATAATTGTTTCAAAGTTGGTATTTGAAGTCCGTAATGGATACTTCAACCCATGACAGAAAATTGTCTATGCAGGTCCACGTCTTCCTATGCAGGTCCACGTCTTCCTATTCGGTATTTTGATGATATTAGCGATACTATTCAACGGAATTGTTTTAAATTTCGTATTTGTAGGTCATTATAGGTACGACAGGCGATTGTGTATGCAGGTTCTTGTCTTCGTACATCAACCATATAATGGTTTTACATTTAACATCTTAATTAGTGGACTAGCCTGCACATTTTCCAGTCTTTGGGAACAATGTTGGTGGTCATTCATATGCCATTTAGGCCATGGTAGAAGAATGGTATTTCAACAGATTTTAAATGTTTCTTCAAAAATAAGTAGATTTGTATATGGTAAGGTAGAGAAAGGTAAGGTAGAGCTAACAGCTGATTACAATTTTTTTCTAAGTGTGCCCGACTTCTGCCAATTTTTTGTATGTATTTAATGTTTTGAAAAATGAAAGAAAATATGTATATATTTTCACAACCAATGATTGGAAGACACATGAATTGCGGCTCGCGCATTAAAGCTTTTAACCAGTATAGCCATGAAATTGATCGACGAATTGGTGATTAAAGTGGACAACACTTCTCACCGGATCAGTAACTCACATTGTAACTCAGAAAGAGACGACATTACCGTTTTATCGATAACTATTAACGGAACACATGACGCAACACTTTCATACCTAAACTGCAGAAAATATATGAGGAAGTCTAATTAATGAGACCTTTGCCTGTAAACACTTGGCTCAAATTGTTGGTTAACACATCCAATAACTGTTCTAGAAATGCAAGAATGTACAACTTTTTACTTCGATAACCGATTTTCCCTTTATAATATCGAAAAAATTGCAAATATAGTAGATTCTTGCAGGTTCTGAAACAGAGCAAGAGTAATCGCCATATGTAAACAATCTATTAAATTCATGTTTATATATACAAAACCCAGTTGAATCCATGGTACAATGAAGAGAAGGTAGGTCAACTTTGAAAAATTTGCAAGTATAGAGGTCTACCTGTTTGGCTTGTAATGTCAGAATTACTATCAAAACAATAAAAAAGCAAACAACTTGTTGCATTGATTTTGAGTAAATAATTTAAAACCGCGAAAACTGAATGAAAAGTCAAAATTTCTCTTCAAAATCATGTTCTATATATCTCTCATGGTTTATTTCGCGACAAAACTGTAGATTTTGTCGATGCATACGTCGCAATAAGCATTTTGAAAACACCCGAATTTGAATATTTTCTGAACAATTTTTTATTATTGAAAAGAATACACACACATAAACAAACGAAGTTGACATATTAAGCCAGAAAAATAAAAAAATTAAAATCATATGGTAGTTCTGCCCTACCTTGAATTCATTGTACCATGGTTGAATCTACTAATTTTTCAACTTTTTTCGATATAATGAAGAGAAAATCGGTTATCGTAGTAAAAACTTAAGCTGGGAATACATAAGGCTGGAAATACATAAAGAGCATATTTGGCTGGCTTAAGTCATCGGCTGGCTTCTTCGTAGATGAACAAAGGAGTTTTAGGTTGAATTAGTTCGATTTTGGCCCTAGGCTCCTTTGTTCATTTCCGAAGAAGCCAGCCGATAACTTAAGCCAGCCAAATAAGCGCTTTATGTATTCCCAGCTTTAAGCGCTTATCTGGCTGGCTTAAGTCATCGGCTGGCTTCTTCGGAAATGAACAAAGGAGACTAGGGCCAAAATCGAACTAGATCAACCTAAAACTCCTTTGTTCATCTACGAAGAAGCCAGCCGATGACTTAAGCCAGCCAAATATGCGCTTTATGTATTTCCAGCCTTAAACATTCTTGCAGTGCTGGGACAGATCATTTAAATTCAAGACTATTGCCACTGGACTTCTTTTGGCGCCTTTATATATGTAAACATTTGGACTGTCACAGGACTGCAAGAATGAAAAACTGTTATCGATTGCTACATCAACACCATCTATACGAAAACCATGGCCGTTGTTATAGAGATTTGAAATAAACAAGTTTGATTTTCAAAAAAAACAAGTTCAAAAATATTTTCAAGCACAAAGTATGCCATTGATTTTTTAATTACCAAATATTCGAGAAAATAAAATATTTTTTCATTACCAATTCTAACCTACATCGTATCAGAAGCATAGAAAAGGAAAAACTTATTATGCCAACGCAAAAGCAATCTGAACCCAAAGAGATTTTGGGTTTGAATCGCATAACGAAAAAACGAATCTTAGAATTATGTAAACGCGATAAGCTATATCAAACGCCCAGACTAAATGATGTCCTGTATTTGCATTATCAAGGTTTGTACTTGGAAATTGCATCCATTCGATGAGAAAAATTTCATCCTCATTACAAAACGCCATTTTTTCTCTATTTTTTCAGGTTTCCAGAACATTGAATGTCTTGAAGATTATACCGAATTGAAATGTCTGTGGCTTGAATGTAATGCCATATCGGAAATTCAGGGTTTGGAAAACCAAACCAAATTGAAATGCCTCTATCTGCAAAGCAATTTAATAAGGAAAATTGAAAATTTGGAATTTTGCAAAGAGCTGGACACAATCAATTTGTCACAAAATCAAATAAGGAAAATTGAAAATGTCGGCTGTGATGTCCTGCCCGTGCTGAATACCTTAAACATAGCATCGAATTACATTAAAGATGCCGAGGGATTGCGAGATTTGGAGAATTGTAAAAATCTTTCAGTTTTGGATTTGTCAAATAACCGAATCGATGATATTTTGGTGGTGAAGGTGAGTAGAGGTTATAGTCGATAAATTGAAGAGTGATTGGTAATTGTTATTTTTTAAGGTTTTTGCCAAAATGCCGGAACTAAAAGTTTTGGTATTGCAAGGAAATCCTGTGGTCTCGAAAATCCCTCAATATCGAAAGACTTTAATATTGGAATGTGTAAGTTTTTTAATTTTTAATAGTTTTATAAATATAAAGACTATAATTAATCTTCCTTTGCTTTATAGAAAAAACTAACCTATTTGGACCAACGACCAGTTTTTCCCAAAGATCGAGCTTGTGCTGAAGCTTGGTAAGTCTCTCATGATTATGTTTCTATGTTTGCTACACCTTTTCTGTTAAAAATCACAACTTTTTCCTGCTGAAAATCTAATAAAATCTAAGAAATTAGGGATTTTAGTTAGGACATTGTGGGGTCTTGAGTGAGTTTTTAAGATTTAGAAGTTTCTTAAAAATTGGTAAACATATCCTTAAAAACTTTCCTAGATCCAATATTATTTGATCTGAAAATTCTTCAACAAATAAAGCTTAAGTGAAGCATTAGAATTAGGTTATAGAAGTTGTAGGTATTTTTTTCTGACGGCTACACTAAGTGAGATTTCCGGTTAGGCGAGTTTATCCCTAAACTTTTGGAGAAGATATACAATTATATGGATTTAAAGAAAAGGTAGTGGGGAGGTTGATAGTAGACAATTTGAAATCGCTTAAAAGGAGGTCGAAGTGTCACTATTAAATAATAGGGTTGGGAGATACTGGAGGGCGAGTAGAGAATTAGTTCAGCGTAGAAAAAGAGGAAAGAGTCTGGATTGAATTCCCTCCCATTGTCCTCATTTTCTTACTTAGAGGCCTTGAATATTGAAGTAGCAAGAAGACGGACTGTGACAACGCAGAGCCTAAAATAAGAAGGGCAGGGAAACAGTTCGTAGTTGGTTCATATTGCCTTTAAGGCTAGGCAGCCGGACTCTTTTAAACCAACTAGCTAGGGGAAACCCTTTGTTGACATGGAGATTTTTAAATTCAATATAATTTGATCTGAAAATTCTTCAATAAATAAAGCTTAAGTGCAGCATAAGATTTAGGTCATAGAAGTTGTAGGTATTTTATCTGACGGCTACACTAAGCTAGATTTTCGGTTAGGGAGTTTATCCCTAAACTTGTAGACAAAATATACGATTATATGGATTTAAAGGAAAGGTAGTGGAAGGGTTGATAGTAGATAATTTGAAATCGCTTAAAAGGGGGCATAAGAGTAATAGGGTTGGATATATTGGAGGTCGAGTAGAGAATTAGTTCAGCGCAGGAAAAGAGGTAAGAGTCTGGATTCAATAAGGAAGGATCTTTTGACTCAAATTCGTGTCGTGGAGAAAAGCTTTATGTAAAATGATGTTGTAATACTCACATGGGTTAAGTGGTGTATGTTCACTTAGGTCCGATTGTCTTAGATCCGTTCACTTAGGTCCGATTGTCTTTCGAAATATTTTGAAAACCGATTTTAAATTTCGCTGTAACTTCTGATTGCAAAAACTTCATTACTAGCCAGACTCATTTAATCCGAGATGGAGATTTTTAATGAGGCAAACCAAATGAAGTCAAATCCAGGTCGTGTCGTGGAGGATGGTCTTATTTAAAATGATGTAGCATTAAAATATTGACGTGGATTAAGTGTTGTAGGACTGATTTCAGGTCCGGTTGTAAAATGATTTTAAATTCCACTGTGACTTCTGATTGCAAAAACGTCTTTAGCTAGACTCAATCCAACTTGAGAAACCCCTCGCTGATGTGGAGATTTTCAATCAGGCAAATCAAATGACACAATGCTGGCTCTTTTGACTCAAATCCAGATCGTCTCGTGGAGTATTTTTTTAAACGATGTTGCATTCCAATACTGACGTGGATTTAGTTGCGTAGGAATTCAGCGATTTCAGGGTTGCTTGGTTTTCGAAACATGTTGTAACTAGATCTTAAATTAAGTAAACAGATATTAAATTTCACTATAATTCCTGATTGCAAAAATATCATCGAAAGCTAGACTCATTTTCATCAACTTGGGAAACCCCTTTGCCGAGATGGAGATTATCAATCGGGCAAACCAAATGACATAACACTGGCTCTTTGAATTCAAGTCCGGGCCGTGCCATGGAGGATGGTTTTATTTAAAATAATGTTGCATTCTAATACTGACGTAGATTAAGTGGTGTGGGATTTGAGTGATTTCAGGTCCGATTTACTTTCGAAACATGTTGTAACCTGATCTTAAATTTCACTGCGACTTTTGATTGTAAAAACGTCATCATTAGCCAGACTCATTAAGACATACTTGGAAAATCATTGCCGAGATGGAGATTTTCAATCGGGCAAACCAAAAGATATTATGCTGGAAATGATGTTGTATTCTAATATTGATATGGATTAAGTGGTGTAGGACTTCAGTGCTTTTAGGACAAATTGACATTCTGCTCTCAAAAACGCCATTATTAAGCTTGAAGCTGATGCTTCGGTGTAGGTTATAGAATAACAGTTCATATTTCTAATTAACTTGAACTGGTAATTGTGAATGGTATTTGTCATATCGTCTTTAAGACCAATCAGTCATACTCGTTGAATTATATTTGGCAAAACTTTTTCGAAATATTGAACTTTTCAATTGGCAGATTGCTGAAAAATAATATAGCACCTACACCCAAATTAATACTGACATGAATGTGTGGGACTTGATTGCTTTCCGTTCCTATTGACTTTCGAAATATGTTGTAACCTTAAAGTTCATTGTGTCTTTTTATTACAAACACGTCATAACTGAGCTTGAAGCTGATGCTTAGGTTTATAGCTTAAAATCATACCGTCTCGAGCTGGATTCGATGCAGTTTTGAGATGATAAATATTTACTTTTCCGGTCCTAAAGTTCAACTGTGACTTCCGATTTCAGAAACGTCATCATTAAGCTTGGAGCTGATGCTTAGTTCTATAGCATAGGGCTCCTGTATCCAAATATCTTCCTAGTTCTATTGCTATAAGTCATAAGTCACCATCTAGAGCTGTATTCGATGCAGTTGTGAGTTGATAAATAGCAATCCTTCCGGATCTAAAATTCAACCATGAGCTTGAAGCTAATGCTCAGGTTAAGGTTATAGAATAACACTTCCCAGGAATAGCGTCCACCGTGGTATATTTTGATGTTGAGAAGACCGAAGTTGATGTGTTCTTTGAAGCTTAGGTTTATAGCATAAGGCTACTTTATCCAAATGACTTATAGACCCAAATATCTTCTTAGATCCATCGTTATAAATTATACTGTCTAGATATGGATTCCATGCATTTCCAGGGCAATATATTGCTTTTTGGGATCCTAAATTAAGCTGTGACTTTTGATTGAAAAGCCGTCACCATTTTGCTGAATCTGATGTTTCGGTCCAGGTTAAAGGATAATTCAGTTATAGTAAAAGATAGATCGATCGCTATAAATCATACCGTCTTGAGTTGGATTCGATGCATTTTCAATGCGATGAATGGCATGAATATCTTTCGAGATCTTAAACTTAACTGTGACTTCTGAGTTATAAACGCCATTATTACGCTAGGCTATTACATGTTAGGCTTTAGCATCCATCCATTGGTATAAGTAATACCGTCAAGAGATGGAATCGGTGTTTTGTATTTCGATATTAAGGAGGCTGAAGTGAGTGCCTTCTTTCTCTGACAACGATGTTAGAGAGACTCTGAGTGACGTGCCGTCCCGATGATAAGCAAAACAACTTCTATTGTTATAGTCCGGCATATTCCCATAAATATATGTTGTAAATTAGACCTTTTTGGGACTTTCCACCTACTCATTTAATCGGGTATTTGAGATATCCATGAAATTAAACTAAACTACAAATTGAATACTTTGTATTGGACAAATGGAATGAGTTACAATTTGGAATGAGATTCATTGATGAAGTGCAGGATATATGGCATGATTTGGTATTATATGAACGGATTGAACTAAAAACTTGCAGTTTGGTATGAGAATCAAGTAATGTTAGTAAGTTTATTATATGAAGGTGGTTTTGAAAAAGTATACTTAGTGTTCGAATTGTTCTAAATGTTACTCAAGTTGGAACAGTTTTGTTTAGGGTGAACTGATGTAGATGGAATTTTAAACTTTTGTATTGGGGGTCCTTGATAGTGGTAGGTTTGTGATAAAGAGGTGGTTTTGGAAACGGGTACTACAAGTGCACGAAAAGTACTGTATTTATGCAATTTGGCATTGGGTGAACAGATAGTGCTGGAAATCTGAGATCTAGTATTATGGTCGCTATGGAGTTGGTTTTGAAAATGTGTACTATATTTGTACGAAAAGTACTAAATACAACTATATTTTGTATTGGGCGAATAATATATATATAAAATTATAATGCGATAAATGTACTAAGTGTGCGAACTGTACCAAATGATACTAAATTTTGGAACTATCTGGATTAGAGTGAACTGATGAAGCTGGAATTTTCAGTTTTGTATTGGGGTCCCTGCTAGAAGGATCCCCTGGAAGGTTTGTTATAAAGAGTTGGTTTTGGAAACGGGTACTACAAGTGCGAAAAATGTACTATATAGTACTATGTTTGGTATTGAGTGAAGAGATAGTTCCGGAAATGGATATTAGGACCGCTATTCATGTGGACATATGGAGGTGGTTTCGGAAATGTGTGCTATAATTGTACGAAAAGGACTAAATGCTGCAATATTTAGTATTGAGTGAATGCACAGAGCTGGAATCCTCAAATTTGATATTGAGGTCTTTGTTGGTGTCTGGAATTAAGATATGGGGGTGGTTTTGGAAATGCACCTATATTTGCACGAAAATTACTAAATGGTATTAAATTTTGTATCGGATGGAGGGATATGTCTAAGGTATTTGTATTTAAGATTTGACGGTGTTTTGGGAATGCGTCCTATTTTTGTACGAAAATTATTGAAAGCTGCTATGGGTGAACTGGGGTGAACGGATATGGCTGGAATCCTCAAATATGATATTGAGGTCTCTGTTGGTATCTGGAGTTGAGATATGGAGGTGTATGGAATGGAATGGTGGAAATGTCTACTGTAATTGTTCGAAATGTACTAAAATGAATTAAATTTGGTAATGCGTGAGGGAAAAGAGCTGAAATTTGATATTGAGTTCTCTGTTGGTATTTGAAATTGACACATGGAGGTAGTTTTGGAAATGTGTACTATAATTGTTCGAAAAGTATTAAATAGTACTACGTTTGGATCACTGTTGGTGGTCTAGGATGTAGAGATATACATTGTTTTGGGTATGTGTACTTAATGTTACAAATTTGGTATTGATTGAAGGAATAGAGCTGAAATTCAGAAATTTGATATTGGTGTTACTTTTAATTCCTAGGGTTTACATATGAAGACGCTGAAATAGTTTGCGGCAGAAATATTGGATATTATCATTGTACAATGGTTTAACTAATATCTTCTATAATTTCTAAAATGAGAGATTTTGAAAACTTTTTGGTGTAAAAAGTTAACATTTTCCTATTATTCTTTCTGAAATAGGAAAAAATTTGAATAATTTAGAACGACGTACGAAGTTTTGTTTAAAATAATGGTCAAACTGTAAATATTTTGTATTTTGAGTATTAAAAAGACGAATATAAAATTTGGACTTCTTCGCTGACGATCCTGACTAATTCCATCTAGTATGTGATGTATATGTCCTTTTGCATTGATGTCAAACAATATGTGATGGTAAAAAAGTCTCTTTTTTTCCTTTAACCAATATCGACAATTGATTGATGTATTTCTGGACAATTATGGTATTTTCGTTATCTCATTTCCCAGGAAACGTGGCGGCTATGAGGAGGAACGCAAAGAAAATGAACGTTGGAATCGCCAGGAACGTCGCAAGATGAGAGACAGCGTTAATGGTAAGAATGAAAATTTTAATCAGCAGGAGCTAGCTTACTAGTACAAATTTTAGAAAGATTTAAAATCACAATTATACTTTTGTATAAATATTTATATCAAGTTTTTTACATAAAATTTGCCCAAATAAACCGAAAAAGAAAATATACCCTTCATACTATGGTGGAGGGTGTAAAAATAAATAAAATCTTGATTGTTAAAAAAATTGAGAGCTAGTTCCTATTTCCAATTTAAATTCAAGACACCCCTCATTTAAAATTGTCTTCCCTTTTTTCAGCCACAATACGCCTGCGTAACAAATACCGTAAACCTGAAGATCATATGACTCTATTGGTATCCTCCGATTCCGAAGACGAAGCCACACAGCAGAGACGACAACGTCAACAAGATGTTCTCGATTCGGGTGTTGATATGGAACTTGGAATATGGGATGAAGTAGCTGGAGATGACGGCCATGGAGCTGAAGTATCACCATCTTCATCCTCATCCCAGACGGATGTTAGTTCTTCAACTTCGGTAATTAATTCGGATGTTACAAAGACATGTGGAAGTGGGAATGCAACAGCATCCATCGACTCGGAAGATAATCTTCTACAGTTGGCGGAGAAACCAAATATTCAAGATATGTTCAGTGATGTCGAGAAGATGAAGGAAGAAAGATGTGAGCAGAAGGAAGAAACAAATAATAACGACGAAACTGCCACAAAAGCAACTTTCATAGAAAAAATTGATTTTGAAATTGATTTTGGAAGAGTAATTTCGATTGAGAATGTTCCAGAGAATTATCAGTGGCATCCAGATGCTGATTGTTCTTCAGATTTGAAAAAATTGATTTTGGAAGAGTAATTTCGACTGAGAATGTTCCAGAGAATTATCAGTGGCATCCAGATGCTGATTGTTCTTAAGATTTGAAGGTTCGATCTAACGAACAGAATGATGAAGCAAGTGCTAATCTAGGGTATCAGTGAAATACTCTTTGGTAGAGTAAAAATCATCCATTGGAGATATTCAGTAAAATTGTTATTCGAAGTCATGTTTTCAACATTCTGATTCAAATTATTGAAAAAAATAAGAATGAAAATAAAATCTGGATCCAATGGATGATTTTCAGAAAAATTGTTATTCGAAGTCATGTTTTTAACATTTTGATTCAAATTATTGAAGAAAATAATTTGAATCAGGATGTTGAAAACATGACTTCTAATAACAATTTTAGTGAAAATCATCCTTTGGATCCAGATGATGATTACTCCTCCAAAGAGGTTTTCACTGATACCCTAGATTAGCACTGGTATCATTATTCTGTTCGTGAGATCGAATCTTCAAATTTGAAGAACAATCAGCATCTGAATGCCACTGATAATTCTCCGGAACATTCTCAGTCGAAATTACTCTTCCAAAATCAGTTTTTTCTAAGTGGAGTATCGATTCTATGAAAGCAGCTTTTGCGGCAGTTTCGTCGTTCTTATTTTTTCTTCCCTCTGCTCACACAGTTCTTCAACATTACTCGCTTTTATTTCTCCAATTTCCTCCTTTATTGGTTTCTTGGCCAACTTTATAACATTATCTTCCGAGTCGATGGATGCTGTTGCATTCCCACTTTCACTTGAATTCGTAACATTCTAATCTGTAGTGCCATATTAATTATTACCCTTAAGGATTCGAAGGAAAGTCACGAAAATGCTCCCAGACGGGTTAATTTGGAAATCGAAACTGCCGATGATAAATACGAGGTGTTAGACGAAATGGAAAAGGTTATGAAAACTATGGACACTGAAATCCAAGAGCCTCAACGAAAACCGGGCGATTCATCTCTCCTACCCGAAAGTTTCTTCCAAAAAAGCGAAGAAAAGGCTGAGAACAATTTAATTGAGACAACTGAAACGGATGATGATGTGAAAGATATCCTTAAAAATGCTCCCAGACGGGTTAATTTGGAAATCGAAACTGCCGATGATAAATACGAGGTGTTAGACGAAATGGACAAGGTTATGAAAACTATGGACACTGAAATCCAAAAGCCTCAACGAAAACCGGACGATTCATCTCTCCTACCCGAAAGTTTCTCTCAAAAAAGCGAAGAAAAGGCTGAGAACAATTTAATTGAGACAACTGAAACGGATGATGATGTGAAAGATATCCTTAAAAATGCTCCCAGACGGGTTAATTTGGAAATCGAAATTGCCGATGATAAATACGAGGTGTTAGACGAAATGGACAAGGTTATGAAAACTATGGACACTGAAATCCAAGAGCCTCAACGAAAACCGGACGATTCATCTCTCCTACCCGAAAGTTTCTCTCAAAAAAGCGAAGAAAAGGCTTTAAAGGCGGATAATGATGTGAAAGATATCCTTAAAATTATCGAGTTCCTAAGGGAACAAGAAATTCTAGAGCAGCTATTCTCCCAAAGACAAGAAAATGACAATTCAAAAATGGCACCAAAAGAAAAATGTCCTTCGGTCATAGTGAAGGAGAAATCGGAATTATCGGGATTAAAGAACGAATCGAATATCGTCCAACAACAAAAACCAATTCAAGGCGAAAACCTCGATCCCTATGTCGAAGAGCTAAAAATGGAAAAATCTCCCACTAAATTTGAAGATGAGACCATCGCCTTGGAAAAAAATCTGAAAACAGAAGATATTCTATTGAAAAAAATTGACATTAATCCAGTTGAAATGCAAGAGAATCTGCCTGATTCCAAATTAGAAACTGCGACTACAAAAACCGAAATCCAGAAAAACAATCCAATACAACATCAAAACCTCGATTCTCATGTGGAAGAATTCAAAATGGAAAAAATTGCATCTAAGTATGAGAATGAGAGGTCCTCTTTGGAAGAGTACCCCAAAGAAGAGAAATTGGAAAAAATTGACAACAATCCAGTTAATCTGCAAGATGACAACTCTATATCCCCGGATATGAATTACGAGGCCAATGTATTTGAAGATGAAATCGGAGAGGAGTATTTCTCAAACGAAATGCACAACAAAATAGTGGATATTGAAAACTTCGATTCTCATGTGCAAGAGTGCAAAATGGAAAAAATTGCAACTAAATATGAGAATGAGAGGTGCGCATTGGATGAAAATCCCAAACAAGAGGAATTGGAAACATTTGACAACAATCCAGTTAATCTGCAAGATGATGACTCTATATCCCCGGACGACTTTGTATGCCCGGATATGAATTTCGAGGCCAATGTAAAAGAAGATAAAATCGGAAAGGAGTGTTCTTCAAACGAAATGCACAACAAAATACTGGATATTGAAAATTTCGATTCTCATGAGGAAGAGTGCAAAATGGAAAAAATTGCAACTGAATATGAGAATGAGAGGTCCTCTTTCGATGAAAATCCCAAAGAAGAGGAATTGGAAAAAATTGACAACAATCCGGTTAATCTGCAAAATGATGACTTTATATCCCCGGATAACACTATATCCCCGGATATGAATTTCGAGGCCAATGTAGAAGAAGATAAAATCGGAGAGGAGTGTTCTTCAAACGGAATGCACAACAAAATAGTGGTTATTGAAAATTTCGATTCACATGTGGAAGAGTGGAAAATGGAAAAAATTGCAACTAAATATGAGGATGAGAGGTCCTCTTTGGATGAAAATCTCAAGGAAGAGGAATTGGAAAAAATTGACAAAAATCCAGTTAATCTGCAAGATGGCGACTTTATATCCTCGGACGACTTTATATCCCCGGATATGAATTTTGGGGCCAATGTAAATGAAGATAACATCGGAAAGGAGTGTTTCTTAAACGAAATGCAGAACAAAATAGTGAATATTGCAAACCTCGATTCTCATGCGGAAGAGTGCAAAATGGAAAAAGTTGCAACTAAACATGAGGATGAGAGCACCGCTTTGGATGAAAATCCCAAGGAAGATGAATTGGAAACATTTGATAACAATCCAGTTAACCCGGAAGAGAGTCCGACCAATTTCAAATTGGAAACTGCAACTGCAATCCCTTCACAAAACTTGTTGCGGGATAACAATTTTGAATACAAACCCCTGGACATGGCATCCTTGACAAGAGCTTCCAATAAAGCCATGGACTCGCTGGAAAGAGAAACAAAAGAGCTCATTGCTCTTTTACAAAATCTAGAAGAGGAAAATGAAGAGAAATTCAAAGAGATTGAATTTCAAGAGAAAGAAATCACTGAAAATGTGGATGAGAAGTCTTATGAAGACAATGTCATTATGGGAGAAAATTCAGAAGAACAACAAGGAAAGGAAATCTCTTATCAGTCCGAAACGGAGTCCAAAGAGATCAAAAGAGATAACAAATGCCAAAAATTGAATCCTGCAGAGACAACGAGTGATATCGGATCGGAGGGAATTAAACTGGGAAATAATGAAGAACAATTCGACGAAATTGATATCAAACAAACAGTTCTCAATATAATTTATGCTGCTACATCTAGCGAATGCAGCAACATCCAGAGCGAGGACAGGAAATTCAGTTGCTATGAGATAGAAAAAATGGAAGCGCTGACAGAAGACCCGGATGACGTTGATATATCTCAGGAAATGGATTTCGACGACAATAGACAAGAAATGAAAGTCAAAGAGAATGCATCTCAAATCGGCGGGGAAGGTTGCGCAAACGAAAATCATAATAATACGGAGGACATGAAAAGAAAGTTGAACAATAAATCGGGGTATGATGTATCCAGAGATATTGGAGAGGGTGCAACTTCAACTAAAGAGAACAATGATGAGGGCATTTTGGCACGGGACATATTGGAGAATATTATTGTGGAAGAAATGGAGAACAATAATAAAGAAAATGGAGAGAACCATGCCGACTGTATGTCCCAGGAAATTCATTTCGAGGCCATTGTAAAAGAAGATAAAATTGAAGAGGAAGGTTCTTTAAACGAAATTCACAACAAAATAAAGGATATGAAAGAAAAGTTGAACGATGAACTTGGTTGTGATGCACCCAGGGAGATCACTGGATACATGAGGGATATTGGAGAGGAGGCCTATAGTGAGAGTGCAACTTCAATTAAAGAGAACGATGATGGGAGAATATTGGAACGGGACATATTGGAGAACATTTTTGTGGAAGGAAATGAGAACAATAATAAAGATAATGGGGAGAACCATGACGACTTTATATCCCAGGAAATGAATTTCGAGGTCAATGTAAAAGAGGATAAAATCGGAGAGGATAAGAATTTTGACGAAGATAAAATCGAAGAGGAAGGTTGTGCAAATGAAATGAATAACAAAATGACGGATATGGAAAGTAAGCTGAACATTGAACCTGAATATGATGTGCCCAGAGAGACCAATGAAAACACGAGAGATGATAAAGATGAGGTCCATGGTGAGATTGCAAGTTCAACAAAAGATAACGGTGTTCGATCTAATGAGAGCATATTGGAACAGGATATATTGGAGAGGAAGAATGCCGGAGAAATTGAGAACAACGATAAAATGTTGAAAATTAGAGGAGATGACGATTCTTTAACAGTAAAAAACAATGGAGAGAATCATGACTACTTTATATCTCAGCAAATGAATTTCGAGGCCAATGTAAAAGAAGATAAAATCGGAGAGGAAGGTTCTTCAAATGAAATTCACAAAAAAATAAAGGACATGGAAAGAAAGTTAAACAATGAACTGGATTATGATGTGCTCAGAGAGACTAATGAAGACATGAGCGATAACGAAGAGAATATCCATAACGAGAGTGCATGTTCAACAGAAGAAAACGATGATGAATGCATATTGCAACGGAATATATTGGTGAATAAGAATGTGGAAGAAAGTGAGAACAATAATAAAATGCTGAAAATTAGAGGGGATGACGATTCTTTAGCAGTCAAAGATAATGGGGAAAACCATGATGATTTTATATCCGAGGATATGCATTTTGACGGAGAGACCCATGAACATATCTCCAATAGTGTACAATTTGTAGAGGAAATATTGGAGGAATCCCTTGAGGAGCTATTTAACGAAAACCTGTACACGACGATAGAGAAGGATGGCATTGAGATCGATGAAAATACAGAGGAGAATGTATTCGACGAGAATATGTATGAGTCTGGTAAGCATAATGATGATCGCAAAAAAAACATAAATTCTAAAAAGAGAGATCGACAATGAAAGAGATTCTTTAGGGTCAACTCTCTCACATTTTTGAATACAATCGAAATTATTGTTCTTATTCACATTTTGAACCAGGCCTCCCCGAATTCGAGTAAAGATTGAAACTTGCTCGAAATAGAGCGGGAGCACTCCTGGGTGTAGAAAAAGCAAAATGTGAAAAACCTCGAGTTTTGCTCTTTTTTTACCCTACACCACATAGTGATTAGGGTATTATGTCTTCTGCATTTGTTTGTAACATGGAGAAGGAAGCAAGAAAGACCCATAGTTACGTTTGAGGATCAATCACTTTTTGAATCGATTTATGCATGTCAGTCCGTCCGTCTGTCCAGTTATTTTTGTGAACAAAATGTAGGTCGCATTTATTATCCGATTGAGATGAAATTTTCCAAACAATATTTGTTCGGCCCAAAAAATTGGCGATAATCGGATATAGATTTAGATATAGCTCCCATATATCTTCAACCAAATTTAATGGCCAGTATTAATCCAAATGACCTGAATTTTGCCACATCCGATCGAATTCAGTCTAGAAGCATGGATATCAAATCGGTTCAGATATAGCTATAGCTCCCATATATACAGGGTGAGATAAAAAACTGCAACAAAGTTAAACGCAATAATTTTTACATTTTTTTAATTTTTTGAATGAAAGCAAAAAATGTTGGAAATAGCATCAACTTTTAGAACACGTTTAGATTTGTTCGAATTGGTTACGAATGGCCTTCAAACGACCAATGAAGCCGTCACACGCTGCCCGAATGTTGCTCTGCGGTATTTTGGCTCATTCCCGGCGAAGCTCTTGCTTGAGGTGATCGACACTTTGGTATTTTTTAGTGCCAACCTTGCTTTCCAAAAATCCCAGACACAATAATCCAACGGATTGGTATTTGGAGATTTTGGTGGCGATTGTGTGCGAAGAGAGGAACCTCATTTTGTAACCATTCTTGGGTCGATTAATACGAGCGGAGAGCGACCATCGCCTGTTATGGCGGCCCACACCATCACCAAGGTGCATACTTTCAAGTGAAGCAACTCTTTAGCTCTTTTGAGTCTATTTTTTTCTGTTGCAGTGTAAGTTCTTGCACTCTTTGGAATTTCAATTGTTTTGCCCCGAGCTCATTTTTCAATATTTGCCGAATGAAATATTTCTATATGTTCAGCTACGAGCCATTTTTCGTTCACTGCGCTTCTTAGATCAAGTCGCTTCTTTACTTTTCGAACCATTTCTGCTGATGTTGCTGTTTTCTTCCGTCCACTTCCTTGACGTCGGGCTACGCTATCACTATCACGGTAACGAGCGATGGTACGAGACAAAAAAGATTTCTTCTTGTGGTTTTCCAGCCAAATATAAAGAAATCACATAATCACGATTGAATTCCATAACGAATAACTTTTTTTCTGGAAAATTCTCACCAAAATGCTTTTGTACGCTTGTAAACAATATAATGAGCTGCCACTGAAGTAACTTTAACAGCTGTCGGAGGAGTGGCTCAGTAATGACAGCAGTCTGAAGTTGGTTGCAGTTTTTTAATCTCACACTGTATACGCAAACTAGCGTTTATGTCTATTTTTCTCTGTCATGATTGAAACATTGATAAACAGGCATAAACGGATTATTTTTAACCATTTTATTTTAAAAATCGCCCGAATTTGAGTAAAGAGTGAAACTTACTCGAAATTGAGCGGGAGCACTTGCAGGAGTAGAAAAAACAAAACAAAAACGAGTGAACTCCCGAGCTTTGCTCTTTATAGAGCAAACAAAAGAGTGAAGAGTAAACTACGTATAAAACTTCCACTCTTGGAGCAATCCCTCTCGCGAGCGAATTTCACTCCCGTGACATCAGTCAAATCTGTTCTCTAAAAATTAGTTTTTGAGCACATTTGATTATGTTTTCCTTTGAAAATGATTAAATAAGTCAAATTCTCTTCCATAAGTCAAATGTTTCTCTTCCACTATTTTGTTCGGCCCAAAAAATTGGCGATAATCGGATATAGATTTAGATATAGCTCCCATATATCTTCAACCAAATTTAATGGCCAGTATTAATCCAAATGACCTGAATTTTGCCACATCCGATCGAATTCAGTCTAGAAGCATGGATATCAAATCGGTTCAGATATAGCTATAGCTCCCATATATACAGGGTGAGATAAAAAACTGCAACAAAGTTAAACGCAATAATTTTTACATTTTTTTAATTTTTTGAATGAAAGCAAAAAATGTTGGAAATAGCATCAACTTTTAGAACACGTTTAGATTTGTTCGAATTGGTTACGAATGGCCTTCAAACGACCAATGAAGCCGTCACACGCTGCCCGAATGTTGCTCTGCGGTATTTTGGCTCATTCCCGGCGAAGCTCTTGCTTGAGGTGATCGACACTTTGGTATTTTTTAGTGCCAACCTTGCTTTCCAAAAATCCCAGACACAATAATCCAACGGATTGGTATTTGGAGATTTTGGTGGCGATTGTGTGCGAAGAGAGGAACCTCATTTTGTAACCATTCTTGGGTCGATTAATACGAGCGGAGAGCGATCATCGCCTGTTATGGCGGCCCACACCATCACCAAGGTGCATACTTTCAAGTGAAGCAACTCTTTAGCTCTTTTGAGTCTATTTTTTTCTGTTGCAGTGTAAGTTCTTGCACTCTTTGGAATTTCAATTGTTTTGCCCCGAGCTCATTTTTCAATATTTGCCGAATGAAATATTTCTATATGTTCAGCTACGAGCCATTTTTCGTTCACTGCGCTTCTTAGATCAAGTCGCTTCTTTACTTTTCGAACCATTTCTGCTGATGTTGCTGTTTTCTTCCGTCCACTTCCTTGACGTCGGGCTACGCTATCACTATCACGGTAACGAGCGATGGTACGAGACAAAAAAGATTTCTTCTTGTGGTTTTCCAGCCAAATATAAAGAAATCACATAATCACGATTGAATTCCATAACGAATAACTTTTTTTCTGGAAAATTCTCACCAAAATGCTTTTGTACGCTTGTAAACAATATAATGAGCTGCCACTGAAGTAACTTTAACAGCTGTCGGAGGAGTGGCTCAGTAATGACAGCAGTCTGAAGTTGGTTGCAGTTTTTTAATCTCACACTGTATACGCAAACTAGCGTTTATGTCTATTTTTCTCTGTCATGATTGAAACATTGATAAACAGGCATAAACGGATTATTTTTAACCATTTTATTTTAAAAATCGCCCGAATTTGAGTAAAGAGTGAAACTTACTCGAAATTGAGCGGGAGCACTTGCAGGAGTAGAAAAAACAAAACAAAAACGAGTGAACTCCCGAGCTTTGCTCTTTATAGAGCAAACAAAAGAGTGAAGAGTAAACTACGTATAAAACTTCCACTCTTGGAGCAATCCCTCTCGCGAGCGAATTTCACTCCCGTGACATCAGTCAAATCTGTTCTCTAAAAATTAGTTTTTGAGCACATTTGATTATGTTTTCCTTTGAAAATGATTAAATAAGTCAAATTCTCTTCCATAAGTCAAATGTTTCTCTTCCACTATTTTGCCCACTTCATTAAACTGAGTGAAGAGAAAAGTGATATTACATCTAGTGTGAACTTTTCTCTTCACTCAGTTTTTCTAATTTCTCTTCATAATTTCCTCTTCCATGTTTAGAAGCAATTGAATTTGAAACTGAAAAAGATCTATGGAGTGAAGATATCTTTACGGAATCGGATATGTTAATTAATTGCTCTGATTATGACATGTCACCAGAGAGCGAATATTATGAAGTTGAAAACTATCAAGAGACGTATAATTCGAGATATTCATATAGAGAGCAGACGCAATTAAGTGACATAGAAGAAGAGTCCGAAATCGATGAAGACAGTGAAATTGAGGACATTTCGTTAATACGATCGGAAATATATGAATCATCTAGGTCTTCAAATCGAAATTCAAACTCAATTGCACATGATGATACTGAAGAGGAGAGAATTGAGGAAGGAGAGCAAGAGAAAGAGAATAACAATGAATTAGCTCTGGTTGAAGCATTTACAAAGAGAGCTATTAATGAGCCAATAATTAATGAGCCAATTGAAGATGCTGAAGAGGAGGAAGTTGTGGGAGATGAAAAGCCCACATATTTGAATGAGAATGTGTTGCAGAGAGAAGACAATAGCAATGAATTAGCTGTCGTTGAAAAAAATACTACGAGAGAAAATAATGAAGATCGTGTTTGCGAGAATAATTTCAAAGATGAGCTAATTGAAGATGCTGAAGTGCAGAAAATTGCGGAAGAAGAAAAGCCCACTCATTCAAATGAGAAAATTTGCCAGAGAGAAGAAAATAGCAACGAATTAGCTCTCGTTGAATCAATTACAATGGAAGAAATTATTGGTAATTGCTTCTGCGAAAGTAATTTCACAGATGAGCTAATTGAAGATGCTGAAGAGGAGGAAGTTGTGGGAGAAGAAAAGCCCACTCATTCAAATGAGCAAATATGGCAGAGAGAAGAGAATAGCAATGAATTAGCTCTCGTCGAAACAATTACAAAGATGGAAAATAATTGTAATAGTTTTTGCGAGAGTAATTTCAAAGATGAGCTAATTGAAGATGCTGAAGTGCAGAAAATTGCGGAAGAAGAAAAGCCCACTCATTCAAATGAGAAAATTTGTCAGAGAGAAGAAAATAGCAACGAATTAGCTCTCGTTGAATCAATTACAATGGAAGAAATTGTTGGTAATTGCTTCTGCGAAAGTAATTTCACAGATGAGCTAATTGAAGATGCTGAAGAGGAGGAAGTTGTGGGAGAAGAAAAGCCCACTCATTCAAATGAGCAAATATGGCACAGAGAAGAGAATACCAATGAATTAGCTCTCGTCGAAACAATTACACAGCGAGAAATTAATGATAATAGCTTCTGCGAGAGTAATTTCAAAGATGAGCCAGTTCAAGGTGTTGCAGAGGAGAAAGTTGTGAGAGAAGAAAAGCCCATTTATTTGAATGAGAACATGTGGCAGAGAGAAGAGAATAGCAATGAATTAGCTCTCGTTGAAACAATTACACAGGGAGAAATTAATGGTAATAGCTTCTGCGAGAGTAATTTCAAAGATGAGCTAATTGAAGATGCTGAAGTGGAGAAAATTGTGGGAGAAGAAAAGCCCACTCATTCAAATGAGCAATTATGGCAGATGGAAGAGAATAGCAATGAATTAGCTCTCGTTGAAACAATTATAAAAAGGGGAAATAATTGTAATAGTTTTTGCGAGAGTAATTTCAAAGATGAGCTATTTGAAGATGCTGAAGTGGAAAAAATTGTGGGCGGAAAAAACCTCACTCATTCAAATGAGCAAATATCGCAGAGAGAAGAGAATAGCAAAGAATTAGCTCTCGGTGAAACAATTACAAAGAGGGGAAATAATTGTAATAGTTTTTGCGAGAGTAATTTCAAAGGTTGTGAGCTAATGGAAAATGCTGAAGAGGAGGAAATTGTGAGCGGAGAAAACATCACTAACTCAAATGAGAAAATGTGTCATAGAGAAGAGAATAACAATGAATTAGCTGTCGTTGAAACATTGGCAAAGAGTGAAAATAATGGCGATAGCCTTTGCGAAAGTAATTTCAAAGATGAGCTAACTGAAGAAGTTGAAGAGGAAATAGTTGTGGGCGGAGAAAACCTCATTCATTCAAATGAGCAAATGTCGCAGAGGGAAGAGAATAGCAATGAATTAGCTCTCGTTGAAACAATTACGAAAAGGGAAAATAATTGTAATAGTTTTTGCGAGAGTAATTTCAAAGATGAGCTAATTGAAGATGTTAAAGAGGAAAAAAATGTGGGCGGAGAAAACCTCACTCGTTCAAATAAGAAAATGTGTCGCAGAGAAGAAGAAATCAATAAATTAGCTCTCGTTGAAACAATTGCAAAGGGAGAATCTAATGGCGATAGCTTTTGCGAAAATAATTTCAAAGAAGAACCGATTGATGAACGCGTTACTGGTGGGGAAGAAATAAATGAACTATCCAAGCTTGCTAAAAGTGAGAGAGAACTTCCCAAAGCCCTTAGCCTCATGAAAAATCCCACAAATTATTTACAAGCCGAAAATCATGTGGAAAACAAAAAAGTATCAAAGAAAGTATATCATGGTTAGTATTCTTACTTTATTATACCCTCTATCCGTATATCCATCTGTGGAAATCTAGCTTCCTAACGAAATGAAGTAGGTTGATAGAATTTTACTCAAATGTATATTATGTCTGCAGGACTTTTGATATTGAAAATGGGCCATGTAGGTTTGGTATAGCGCCCTTATAACGGTACCTCCCGATTTTCGGTATTTTAATGATTTTAGCGACATTATTCACCCGAATTGTTTCAAATTTGGTATTTAAAGTTCGTAATGGATACTACAACCTATGACGGGAGATTGTTTGTGCAGGTCTTCCCGATACTCAGTATTTTGATGATTTTAGCGACATTTTTTACCGGAATCGTTTCAAATTTGGTATTTGAAGTTCGAAATGGATACTATAGTCTAAGACAGAAAATTGTCTGTGCAGGTCCACGTCTTCGTATAGCCCCCATATAACGGTACCTCCTGATATTCGGTATTTTAATGATTTTAGCGACATTATTCACCGATTTTTTTTTAGTTTCGCATTCGAATATTGCAATGGCTTATGACAAAAGTTACCTATGCAGGTCCAAGTCGTCGTATAGACCTTAATATAACGACTACATTCGGTATTTTTAAGTTTTTAACAGAATTTTTAACGGATTTAATTGTTGTAGACCCTAATATAACGACTACATTCGGCATTTTTAAGATTTTAACAGAATTTTTAACTGATTTAATTGTTTTTCAGAATTGCCAAATTCGTTACAAATGGTGGAGGGTATTCGAAGTTCGCCCCGGCCGAACTTACAGCTTTTTAACTTGTTTTTATCTTATATTCTCTCCAAAAAGTCACTGACACTGCAAATTTTATTAAGGAGAGAATACAAGAAAAATTGAGTGGGAATACTAACCATGATCAGAGCACAGATTTGCTCGTTTACACTCAGCAGTATAATTCGCTCGCAAGCGGGGTTGCTCGAAGATGGGAGTTTTTATACGGAGTTTATTCTTCACTCTTTTGTTTTGTGTGGAGGGTTAAATCGAGTGGAAAAAATACTTTTGTTAGCTGATTTGTGTGTGGGTGTAACATCTAAAAAGGGGGTGATCGTTTTGTTTTTAACTCCCGCTCGACTTTGAGCGAGTTTCACATTTTTTTTTTGTTTTCCACACTGTTTTTGGCCTGCAAATAATTTTTGGGATTTTTAATGAGGCTAAAAGCTTTGGGATTTGAAAATGGATTAAAACTTTAAATGTTTTCATTATCGCTCTTTTACAGTCCCACAAATTCCAGCTATCGATGCTAATGCCGATGAGCCAAAGAAGAATCCCCTGGAGATGACAAAAACAAAACATCTACCCCTAACAAAGACCATCCATGATGTCCTGGATTCTCTGGCAGATCTTTTCAAAGGGATTCCCAAGAAGAAGCGACAAAAAGTTCATGTTTCTGAAAGCGATAAGAGTGCATGTCTAAAGAAATTAGCTGGCCAACCCCAGCTGAAAATGTTCAATCAAGATACCCATGAAAGTCTGGATAAACAACTCAATGAATTTAAAGAACAACAAAAAATTGAAATTCAGCAAATGGTCAATAGAGTCTATGCCCAGAGAGAACGTTATGATGATAGCATAGAATTGATAGATGACAAGTTGATGATTGTCCACAAGGACACGGGAGAATTGAGAGAGCTAGAAAAGCCTAAGCATATTGCATACTCAGATAGTGATAATAATGATTATGATACTGCCGATGAGGGAGCTTGTTGTAGTAAGCCCAGGAAGGCACTTGATGGAGAACAGAGTGACGTCGTTAAGCAACAAAATTCCTGGAAATCAATTGAAAGTGATGCTGATGGAGATGAGATTGTTACTACCGAGAAGGCGACAGATGGTAGTAGAGATGGAAAAATATTTAATTTTATGGAGAACACCCCCTCCAAGGCCCCCTCCATTGCCGCCATGAACTACAAAAATCCCTGGTACTCCATTGAGAGTGGAACAGATGATGAGGAACAATTTCATTCCCTGCCACCTTCATCGAAATCGCTGAATATTTTCGATAATATTCATCGCGACTTTTTCGATAAACTTTCATTGGATCATTTAAATTTTACACCACAAGATGAGGATCAAATTGTACAGTGCTCTCGCAGCTATACTGAGCTGAGGAATCTCTTAATTCAGCTGCCGGCTGAGGAAGTTTTTACGCAGGAAGAGCGTACGCTGTTGGAGAGCATTAAAATTGGCAGCAGCAAGACAGAGGTAAGTGATATTCTTACGCCTTACTCGGAAGTGACATATAGTGGAAAAACAATTTGGCATCAGTGACGATAACATGTTATGACTAGAGACTTTACAGGAATGTAAAAAGAGAACTAGAAAAAAGAGAGGAGAAGGTGAGCAGTGTCGGCTGTGGAAATCACTCTAGTTTTCCGAACGAATTGACGTAGGTTGATAGAATTTTACTCAAATGTGTGTTTGGTCTGCAGGACTTTTGGTATTGAAGATGAACTATATAGGTATAGGTCCACGTTTAGGTATAGTCCCCATATAACTTTACCTCCCTATATTCGGTATTTTGATGATTTTACCGACGTTGTTCGACGGAATGGTTTTAAATTTCGTAATGATAGTTCGTAGTGGGTGCAAGCTGTGACAGAAAAGTGTCTACGTAGGTTTAGGTCTTCGTATATATATCAGTACCTCCCTATATTCGGTATTTTGATGACTTTAGCGACAATATTCGCCAGAATTGTTTCCAATTTCGTATTTGAAGTTCCCAATAGGGAAATTACAGAATTTTTGTCTATGTCGGTCTAGATCTTCGTATAGCCCCCATATATCGGTACCTCCCGATATTCGGTATTTTTAAGATTTTTACAGGACTTTTAACGAATTTTATTTATACCCTACACCACAAGGTGGTCAGGGTATTATGTCTTTGTGCATTTGTTTTTAACAGCCAAAAGGAAACGAGATAGACCCATAGTTTCTTTTGTCGATTTGCATAGAATCACATTCTGAGTCGATTTATGTATGTTCGTCCGCCTGTCCGTCCGTCCATGTATTTTTGTGAACAAAGTACAGGTCGTTTTTATTGCCCGATCCAAATGAAATTTTGTACAAGTCAATTGTTTGACTCAAGGACGAACCCTATTGAAATTGGAGATAATCTGTCAACATTTAGATGCAGCTCGCATATATATCTTCGTCCTATTTGCATTTTATTGTGCACCAAACATGTAATATCAGCCCAAATAATATGGAATTTTGCACATATGACCAAATTAGGCCTGAAAAGAAATATGTAAAATTTTATCGAAATCGGTTCAGATATAGCTATAGCTTCCACATATATATTGTTCATCCGATTTGTTTTGTCCTCTGAAGCCGTATATGCCTTCTGTAGCAATGATATTTGGGCAATTATATCAAATACCGCTCAGAAATACCTTTGTTATTTTTTTTTTTTCGGCTGAGGTTTTGATATAGCTCCCGCGTACAACTTCGACCGATTTGCCCTTTATTGTGCACCAATCGGGTAATATTAGTCCAAATGGTATGGAATTTGGCACTTACGACTAAATTGAGTCTAGAATTTAGTACTTCAAAATTTGCTGAATATGGGTTCAGATATAGCTATAGCTTCAATATATATTCTTCATCTGATTGATTATAATTGTTCCCCACAGCCGTAATATGCACTCCATAACAAACAAAATTCGGGAAAATATATCAAATACAGCTCAGAAATACCTTTGACAAATTTTATCGAGATCGGTTTAGATTTGGTATAGCTCCCATATATATCTTTATCCGTTTTCAAGTTATTTGTGTACCAAATGGGTAATACAAGCCCGAATTGAAAAGATACAAATGCCTCAGCAAATTTAGTCCTTTGGACTTTAAATTATAATTATCAGCACACCCGGTATGATTCAATTCTCACAAAATACCCACAAAATCTTTTATTTGTTATGTGAAGCTCTACTAAATATGCAAAGTGGTGTAGGGTATCATAAAGTCGGTCCCGCAGACCGGGCCAGCTAGTATATATATATATATATATATATATATATATATATATATATATATATATATATATATATATATATATATATATATATATATATATATACTATATATATATATATATATACTATATATATATATATATATATATATATATACTATATATATATATACATATATTCTAGCCGGCCCGGTCCGCGTTGCCGGCCCATAGTTTTTGTCTATTATGCATATATTCCCAAGCATAATTATTCACAGATATGACTGATATAAGTGTTCACGTACATGTCGATTTAAAGTGTTTTAAAATACCTGTACCCATTTTTAACCAGTGGGCTTCAATATTTAAACCGTGGGCTTCAACTGTGTGGATGTGCTATACAAATCTATTAAAAAGTATATATCAATCTTATCGCCATATAAGGGATCAAATTAATTTTTAATATGGTAAAAATCGTAGCAAAATCTTCCAGTCAAATGAGCAGTAATTTGGAATTTGCTGTATTTTGTATACTACATAATTGAGGGCTGAATGATTTAAGAATAGCCAAAGTTAATTACTTTTTTAAACCCATTAGCAACTTAGATTGTGCATTAGAGTCCTCATAAGTCCCCCTAACCATGTCAGTCTGTTTGTCCGCCAAAAGGTGGACTTGAGAGGGTATTATAACATGGATAAAAATTCTAAAATTTGTAGATATGTTGAAATTTTAGTGTAAGATTTTCACCCCCCTAATACGCATTATTAGCCAAATTCTTTGAAACGAGGTTAAATTAGGAGGTACCTTCTTTATATGGGCACTACTCCGAAACATCGACCTACATTGAAAACTTTCTTCTACCCCTTATAATCCAAGATGACAAATAGAGGCCAAATCAAAAATATAGCAGAACAATATAGCATGTCATAGCATTTCGCGTGATTTAAATAAGTAAAAATAGTTTTATCCACCTCATAATTGCGGGCAGAATGATAAGATGGGAATTAATTTTATTTGCCATTTAAATTGTAAGTTGGAGACCCCTTAAAAGTACGTTTATATATATGAGGGTTTAGCCACTGGATTTGGATTTAAATTGTCATATCCATTACTTTTACTTCAAATAAATCCTCTCAAAGTAGGTTAACCCTACAAAAAGTTCTAACGTAAACATGGCATAAAGTCCATATTTTCATCATAGGATAATTCAATGATGATTAAATAAATATTCGGTCCCGTGCTACTTTCTTATATTTGTAATTTGTTCATGTTTCCACAATTTATTTCATATGGATGCACATCCCAAATCTACGTTCCCAACCAATATTCTCTTGGGGGTTAAAAATTCAATAGAATACAAAATTTTCTTTTCTGACCACACATTAGATGTGAAAGTGGACTTGGGGATACTCCAATGTGGGGACTTTACTTAAATAAATTCCTATGTGGCAATTATCTGTATGATGGTTCCCTACCCCAGGGTGGCATAAATACAATTTTTTAGCCAAATCAATTGATGAATGTGGTCAATACCAATATGGGCCCTACTCTGAAAATTTCAAATTTTATGCGAAGAGGTTATCTACCCCCTTAGAAACAAAAATGTCAAATAAGGGCCAAAAAATGAAAAAAGTGACCGGCCAAGACCCCAAAAATAACTTAAATCATAGATGGTTATATAAATATGAAATCGGGTTGTTCCCTTATCCGTGAGTTATGATCGATATAAAGACGTGCAAAAGTGATTTTAGGTATTTTGAATGTTTGGGAAGAATTTCTGGAAGGATATAAAACCTTTTCTTACTAAAAGTCCCATTCGCTCTACTATTTTGCACCTTTTATTTCAATATTGGTATATTACTTATTATTCTCCCAAAGAATTTTGCATTTTGAGCTCTCATTGGACGGATCATTGTCACGCTTTGAAATGAGCCCCATTAAGCTTTTTCGGTCATTTTTGTTTGTTTAAATGTGTTCGCATCTTCCAGCTAACCCACGATGTAGGCCCTGGAGTTGAAAGGTAGATGTCAGTTAACATATATATATATATATATATATATGTATATATATATATATATATATATATATATATATATATATATATATATATATATATATATATATATATATATATATATATATATATATATATATATATATATATATATATATATATATATATATATATATATATATATATATATATATATATATATATATATATATATATTAAATATATTTTTTATAATATATATTTTTATTATTTTATATTTTTTATATATATTTTTTATTTATTTTTTTATATATTTTATATTTTTTATATATATTTTTTATATATATTTTTTATTTATTTTTTTATATATTTTTTTATATATTTTTTTAATTTTTTTTATTTTTTTTTATTTTTTTAATTATTTTTTATTTTTTTTTATTTTTTTATTTTTCTTTATTTTTTATTATTTTTTTATTTTATTTTTGCTTTTAATTTTTTTTATCTCCAACGCGCCACCCAAGAAAATTTCCAAATGGTGGAGGGTATTCAAAGTTCGGCCCGGCCTAACTTACTGCTTTTTATCTTCGTTTCATTTGTAATTTTCCTTGTTGTCTTACATCAATTACAAAATTAATTTGTTTATAGTTAGATTGTCCGGGTCTTCCTTTAACTCTCCATTCTTCATCTCCGTTGCATTTTTGTTAAGGGTTTCTGTTTATTATCCTCCACCGACATATAATGATCACTGATCCGCAAATTTAGTTTACACTATGTATATTATCGCAATGTGTCGTTTCAGATTTACTAAAATTCCTCATCTTACCTTCTCTCTTGTCTTTGTTCTTTGCAGGACTTCCCAAACTTGTCTCAAACAGAAAAACATGTACAAATTTGTCAATATACCGAAAATAATTCTAAAGAGGTACCTGTTGAGAATACTTGTGAAAAAGAGCAACATAAAGAGAGCATTGCATCAGAACACTGGTACATCGGTGAAGAGAACAACGAGAAAAAAGATAATCCCTATTACAAAGTTCTCTCGAATGGTGTCAACGTTATCTTTGATGCACAGAGAGCCGATGTCAAAACTCAAACCCAGGACCAAGAAATTCAAACTGAAATTACACTTGGAACTAATTCTGATTTTGAACATAAGAATACTGAATTCAAACACCAAGTTGAATCTTTTCAATCACAAAGAAACTCATCCCTGGATTATTCGAAAAATGTACCCTTAAAACCAGATGAGAATATAGAAAATTACAATTCAGATATTTTGGAATGTAATTTGGAAATATTGGATTGTAACGATGGTATCGTCGATAATATAATGGTCAATGCTGAAATACATTATGAATATTGAAATACCAAATTGAACCGAAGAGGAGATCAGCCTTAATTTTTACAAAATCACAATTATTTGTTATAGTTTTAAATAATGAATTCAAAATAAATATTAAAACAAATATTTGTGTTATTTTGTATCACGTGATCTGGGAATATATCATATTACTATTCTCCATGAACAAAAAAATGAGTAGCCCGAATAAATTATAAATTTGGATGACAAGAAAGGTTGTAAACCTGTACAAAGATTTTTTTTAAGAAATATCCTGTTACGAAATGATACTGAGCTTTGCTAATGCTTTCATTGATATCCAGAAACCAGATGTAAAAAATGAAACCCATGACTATAAATTTAAAAATTAAGATATATATTAATCGGTTTTTATGCTATGGACAACGAGATTGTTGAAGTCCCCATTATATGCCCCTTGTGGTTCTTCCATTTGAAGAAGGCATATTTATATCTATATCTCTCTATATATAGAAACAGATTTCTGAAAGGCTCTCATCCATGGAATATATTTTGGAGCTCCATTTATAATACACCTCCAGAAAGACTTCCGTCCTCCGACCTCTGAAAGATCTTGGTCTTCTATACCATATAGGAGACCTTTTGTCTTTTGTGCCCTATTAAATATATTTTGGTTCTGCTGCGTCATCGACGTCATAAAAAGAACTGATGGTCTTCTTTGCCACATAGATGACTTGTTGGTATGTTACGACATAAAGATGTTCTATAAGTCTGCTATGTTCTATAGATGCCTTTTTGTGAACTTTTCGTCCTGTTGGTCTTGTATGACCAAGATACATTTTGGGTCTTCATATAGAAGTCCTGTTAGTCTTCTTTCTCATATAGAAAACATGTGTGCCATCATTGTCCCATAAAAGTCGTATTGGTCTTCTGTGAAAAATAAAATACCTGTATGTTAATCCTAGAAACCAAAACAATCTACATCTCCCCATCCTAGCCAATAACAGTGATCCGAAACTAGTACCATTTTGTACTTTTCGAATAATATTACGCTTTTGCAAAACCAGTATCAGATATTAACAGACAAATTTTGGGATTGCAGCTCTAACATTCACTCAATACCAAATCTAGTAACATTTAATACGTTGACATTTGTAAAGCCGATCCATAACAGAGATCTCAACATCTCTCAACCATAACAGATATCTCAACATCAAATTTCAGGATTTTAACTCTATTCCTCCAGCCAACACCAAATTAAGTAACATTTAGTACTTTTTGTACATACAGGGTTAAAAAAATACTGCAACAAAGTCAAACGCCATAATTTCTACATTTTTTTTAAATTTTTTGAATGGAAGCAAAAAATTTCGGAAATAGCATCAAATTTTAGAATAAGTTTAGATTTGTTCAAATTGGTCACCTTTGGCACGAATTATGGCCTTCAAACAGCAAATGAAACCGTCACACGCTGCCCGAATGTTACCCTGTGGTATTTTGGCCCATTCCCGGTGAAGCGCTGGCTTGAGGTGATCGACACTTTGATATTATTTAGTGCCAACCTTGCTTTCCAAAATACCCCAGACACAATAGTCCAATGGATTGGTATCCGGAGATTTTGGTGGCCATTGTGCGCTGGAAATGAAGCGAGCGAACCTCATTTTGTAACCATTCCTCGTGCTGAGTTCTGTTGGCTTTAATACAAGGCTTTAATACACCCTCCAGAATATTATCGCGATAATATTCGGCATTTATTCTATCCACGGTCGATTAATACGAGCGGAGAGCGATCATCGGCTGTTATGGCGGCCCACACCATCACCATGGCCGGCGCTTGAGTTCTGGTGGCCAACCGAAGGTGCACATTTTCAGCTGACCTCTTTGGCAAGTAAACACGATCATTTCGTTTGTTTACAAACTGCTGGACAAAAAATGTTTTCTCATCGGAGAAAACCAAAATCGGCAGTTCGCCACTTTCGGCCAAGCAAAGCAGCTCTTTTGAATCTATTTTCTTTCTGTTCAGGTGTAAGTTCTTGCACTTTTTTGAATTTCAATGGCTTTACCACGAGCTCATTGTTTAATATTTGCCGAATGGAATATTGCGATATGTTCAGCTCACCAGCCATTTTTCGGCCACAGCAACGCGGGTTTCGATCAAGTCGCTTTTTTACTTTTCGAACCATTTCTGCTGATGTTGCTGTTTTCTTGCGTCCACTTTCTTGACGTTGGGCTACGCTACCAGTATTACGGTAAAGAGCGATGGTACGAGACACAAAAGATTTATTCAAATTTAAATTCTGGAGTGCTCTAACGATAGCCACTTGTGGGTTTCCAGCCAAATATAAAGAAATCACACTATCACGCTTGAATTCCATAGCGAATAACTTTTTTTCGAGAAAATTCTCAAAATGCTATTGTGCGCTTGTAAACATCTGTCGGACCATTGGCTTAGAAATGACAGTAGTCTGTAGTTGGTTTTTATACCCTACACCACAAGGTGGTCAGGGTATTATGTCTTTGTGCATTTGTTTGTAACAGGTAAAAGGAAACGAGATAGACCCATAGTTCCTTTTGATGATCTGCATAGAATCACTTTCTGAGTTGATTTATGCATGTCAGTCCGTCCGTCTGTCCATGTATTCTTGTGAACAAAATGCAGGTCGCATTTATTATCCGATTGAGATGAAATTTTGCAAACAACATTTGTTTGGCCCAAGGACGAACCCTATTGAAATTGGAAATAATCGGTAAAAATTATATAGCTCCCATATATATCTTCGTCCGATTTGCCTTTTATTGTGCACCAACGTGTAATATCAGCCCGAATAGTATGGAATTTTGCACATACAACCAAATTAGGCCTGAAAATAAGTATGCCAAATTTTATCGAAATCGGTTCAGATATAGCTATAGCTCCCATATATATTGTTCATCCGATTTGTTATTTTTGTCCTCCGCAACCGTAATATGCACTCTGTAACAACAATATTTGGGGAAATATATCAAATGCAGCTCAGAAATACCTTTGCTAAATTTTATCGAGATCGGTTCAGATTTGGATATAGCTCCCATATATAACTTCGTCCTATTTACCATTTATTGTGCACCAAACGTCTAATATTTGTCCAAATGGAATGGAATTTGGCACATACGACCGAATTTAGTCTAGAAGGTAGTATGCCAAATTTGGTGAAGATCGGTTCAGATATAGTTATAGCTCCCATATATACTGTTCATCCGATTTATTGTATTCGTTACCCACAGCCGTCATATGCACTCCGTAACAACGATATTCAGGGAAATATATCAAATACAGCTCAGAAATATCTTTGCCAAATTTTATCGAGATCGGTTCAGATTTGGATATAGTTCCCATATATATTTTTATCATATTTCAAATTAATTTCGCACCAAATGGGCAATACAAGTCCGAATTTAAAAGATACAAATGTTTCGGCATATTTAGTCCTTTGAATTTTAAATTATAATTACAATCATAGCGTGTATGATTGAATTCTCCCATAAAAACTTTTAATTATTAAGTGGAGCTGAACTAAATTAGCAAAGTGGTGTAGGGTATCATAAAATCGGCCCCGCCCGACTTTAGGACTTTCTTTACTGGTTTCATAATGGTTCATTTCATAAGGCTAGGATACACATAATGTTAGAATCACATGAAAAGCTACATTTTCTACGTATATGTTAAATATTTTTATAACATACTTTAAGGCGTTTCACACTAGTGGATTTTCCTCGTAGATATTGAGAAAATTTTATTTTATATAATTTTGTCGCACAATGTAAGTATTAGCTGGGAATAACTTAATGTTGAGTACCCGGTAATTCGGCTCGTTGTACCCAAAAAATCTTTAGCACGTTTTTCCACAGTAGACTTTGCCTCATTGTTTCACATAAGTTTTGGCTTTATGTTCGACAGGAGCTTCGTCAACAACCAGACATCCCTTCACCATAGCTGCCGATTTTTTGCAAATCGTCTATTATCTGAATATTATTACTAGTCCTCCCGATTAACTATGAATCGTCGTAAACCTAAAATTCCCGATCAGAAGAGATTTTAATTTAGTATTTAAATCATTAAAACATCCAACTTACGCCCTAGGGAAAGAGATATTTTTTGTTCGTAATTGGTGATTTTTCTATTACCTCTCTTTTATTAGGTCCCTTTGTACGTCTAAAGTACAAAACTTGCATCTGCTTGTCTATTCGCTTTGTTTTGCTTTCAAATTAGATCCATAGAGAGCGACTTGGTTTCGCATCCTTATCACCATGTCAACCATGAAAGTTCAATTTTACCAGTTTTCCATAGATGCAGTCAACCGGTTTGAGTCGGTTTCGAACTTGTAAACTAGCTTTGGTTGTCATGTCTGGCATACAGATGCATCTTCTGTATAATATTAATGCAATATTGTAGACAGAGAAAAATAGTTTTTTTTATTGTAATTTTTCTTAGATAACGTGTGATGCGGTAATTCGAAAAAAATGTTTTCAAATGGAGAAGATGGTCTTTAGGAAAATAGTTTTCTTTTACAACTGATGAAAAATCCACGCTTATAGCTTTAACTTTGTATACCCTCCACCGTTTGACACAAATTTGAAAATATGAAGGCTATACCAAAACGTGGACCTACCAAAATACCAAAGTGTCGATCAGTTCAAGTAAGCGCTTCGTCGGGAACGGGACAAAATACCGCAGAGTAACATTCGGGCAGCGTGTGACGGTTTCATTGGCCGTTTGAAGGCCATAATTCGTGCCAAAGGTGACCAATTCGAACAAATCTAAACTTAGTCATTTGTTTTCATTCAATAAAATTTAAAAATTATGGCGTTTGACTTTGTTGCAGTTTTTTTTATCTCACCCTGTATCTGTCCGATTTCTGAATATGTTTTCTTTCTGTTTTGAAACCCACTGTGTTGGTTCTCAATAACCGAGTCACACGACCATACTGAGTGATTTGCTAAGCAACGAGGTCGGGCGAAAATTACTTTCAAAATAACCAGTAGCAACTGGATGTCTGATGTACCATTTTGATGTGACCTGCAGGTCATCGTCGCAATTATTTGTGGACTATTAAACAGCAAAACAATTATCTAAGAACCCAACAACAACTGATAAGCGATTGCAAAATTTCTTTCATTTTGTTCGAAAATATTACGATTTTACTTTGTCTATAAAAGTAAAACAAAGGCTTAATCCGCGTCAAAATGAATGTGCATTCCAGACACAGATTTGCCGTTTTCGATTTGGATTTGTTGTTTTCCAGAACCCTAAAACTGCTTTAAACCGGCGCGAAAAAGTGGAATTTGTTATAACTTGAACTTTTGTTCACGGAATTAGTTGATAAGGCGATGATTATTTTTGAAAATTTTTATTTATGCGAGATTTTTTTCTTTGCTTAAGTCGGTGTGTATTCGAATTTTGAAAACAGATGTAATTTTTTGTTTAATTTGAAATATTAAAATAAAAATTAGACTTGGCAATAATTGTTTTTAAAATGATAATAAAGATTTTTTTACAAAATACAGTGAAAGTCAAAAGTGAGCAAAGCTCCTCAACTGATTGAAGACTTATAAAAGATTCTCTGCCTCTTTCAGATTTAAATAAAAGGATTTTAGTCTATAGAAGAGCTTCATCCTCTATCTATAGGAGACCTTCAAAAGGTCTGTTGAATGTGGGAGACCTTTAGAAGGTCTGCTGTTTATAAGAGACTTATAGAAGGACTACAGACTATAGGAGACCTTCAGAAGAAACACTGACTATAGAATACCTTCAAAAGGTCTATTGATTATAGGAGACCAACAGAAGGTCTACTGACTATAGGACACCTTCAAAATGTCTACTGACTATAGGAGACCTTCAGAAGGTCTGCTAACTATAGGAGACCTTCAGAAAGTCTACTGACTAAAGGAGACCTTCAGAGGGTCTACTGTTTAAAGGCGACCTTTAAAAGGTCTATTGTCTAAATGAGACCTTCAAAAGGTCTACTGTCTAAATGAGACCTTCGGCAGATTTTCTGGCTATAGGAGATCTTCAGAAGGTTTACTTCAGAAGATTTTCTAACTATAGGAGAGCGTCAGAAGGTCTACTGACTATAGGAGAGCTTTAGAAAATTTGTTGACTATAGGAGACCTTCAGAAGATCTGCTGACTATAGGAGACCTTCAAAAGGTCTACTGACTATAGGAGACCTTCAGAAGTTTTATCGACTGTAGGAGGCATTCAGAAGGTCTACTGACTATATGAGATTTTCGGAAGGTTCACTGACTATAGGAAACCTTCGGAAGGTCTACTGACTATTGGACACCTTTAAAAGGTCTACTGACCATAAGAGACGATGAGAAGGTCTGCTGACTATAGGAGACCTTTGGAAGGTCTACTGACTACAGGAGACCTTCAGAAGGTCTTCTGGCTATAGGAGACCTTCATAGGGTCTACTGTCTAAACGAGACCTTTAAAAGGACTTCTGTCTAAGTGAGACCTTAATAAGGTCTACTGTCTAAAGGAGACCTTCAGAAGGTTTATTGTCTACAGGAAAAGTTCTATTGACTATAGGGGAGAAGATCTACTGATTATAGGAGCCCTTCAGAAGGTCTATTGACTGTAGAAGACATGCAGAAAGTCTACTGACTTTAGGATGATTTGGATGGTCTGCTGTCTACAGCAGAAGCAGAAGGTCTACTGAATGTAGGGGATTTTCACAGGATCTACGGTCTATAGAAGCCGGTTCGAAAGCCTTCGTTCTACAACAGACCTTTACAAGTTCTTCAGGGTCCTTCGGTCTATCGAAGACCTTCAATAGGTCGTCGGAGTAGAAAAGACCTTCAGAAGCTCTTTTATCTTTTGAAGACCTATACAAGGTTTTGGTCAATAGAAGACCTTCCAAGGACCTTCCGTCTATGGAAGACCTGCAAAAAGGTTCTTCTTTAATATAAAGAGGGTCCCATCTTTAATAGAACTCAAAAGTCTTCGGTCTATAAAATTCCTTTAAAATGGCTTTGGTGTAATGAAGATGTTTACTAACTTTTGTCCTCCACTGTGGGGAACATCCACAGAAAATCCTTAATTATTGTTTATACTCACATTTGACTCCCGCTATATAGATCTTCTTTTGAAGGTCTTCTATAGACTCAAGATCTTCGGAAGCTCTTGCATCTCTGGAAGACCTTTAAAAGGTTACGGTCTATTAAACACTTTCCGTTTATGGAAGACCTGCAAAAAGCTTTTTTTCTATAGAAAATCTTCAAAGGGTCTCCGGTTTTTAGAAGACCTTCACGAGAACGAGGTATTCAATGTACAGAAGAACATAAAAGTATTCGGTCTATAAATGTCTTTTAAAAGGTTTTCGGTCTATAAAATTCCTTCAAAAGTCTTCAGTCTTTTTAAGACCATCTTCTCAATTAATTTTAACCACTTTTGTCCTCTACTATACATAGAACTCTTAAAATTATCCTCTATACCCACTTTTGACTCTCACTGTATATAAAAATAATATGAGCAAATTGATATTTCTTTTTTATTCCAGATTCAACCAAAATCTGCCTAATTTTCGTCCATTGTATCCAAGAGCCCCAAAAATGCCACAAGTACTAACATCTGAACCAAAACAACACTAATCTCTGTTATCTCTACAATAATATTTTCGAAAAAAAAACATCAAAACATGTTTGCCTCGCATGATCATAACATACGATTTTGAAAATCTTCGGACCACCAGCAAAGAGATAATGGTGTACTTCCAAATTGTTTTTTTTACTAATACACATAGGTTCGATTGAAATTTGTAGAATTTGAAAACAACAAATCTTTCGTACAATTCGTTGTCATATTGAGATTTCCATTGGTTAGATTTGGGGAGTTCTGACGAAATTGCAGGAGTATGACAATGTAGGTAACAATGTTGGCAGCAATCTGTAAAGGAAAGTTTTGTTAATTTTTTCAAATTATTTTTTTAAAATTGTTATTTTTCATTCCACTTACCGCCATTACAAATTTCAAATTGAGCGTGAAATAGTCATTGGCACTGATCCGTATCGGATTGTGCAGAATTTGCATAATGAATCCTTGCAGCAATGAATTATATTCCACGGCATGGGGATTGAAGGAGGTTCTCAGGAGGCTTTTTAGGGAAATTAAAATTGAATTGCACTGAAAAAATAATTGATATGATTTTTGTTATAAAAATTTTTTTTTGTTCTCCACTCTCAGATTTTTTTTATTTTGAAGGTTTTATAAAGGCCCTAAAAAAGTTTTACCCCTAGAACCCAAAATTCTTCACAATTCCATCCCTATCTTCTGGGTTTTTGATACAAAAAACCATGTACTATAGAGTCAACTTGGAATTTTCCACAACCCAAACTGGCTAGTGGAAAGTGAAATTATAATAAAATTTGCAGCGAATTCAGAAAAAAATGGAAAATTACTTCTTTATGGTAAATACAGGATGAGATAAAACAAACCGCAACAAAGTCAAATGCCATAATTTTTAAATATTTTTAATTTTATTGAATTAAAGCAAAAATGTCGAAAAAAAGCATAAAATTTTAGAATAAGTTTAGATTTGTTCGAATTGGTCACCTTTAGCACGAATTATGGCCTTCAAACGGGCAATGAAACCGTCACACGCTGCCCGAATTTTGCTCTTCGCTATTTTGGCCCATTGCCGGCGTAGCGCTTGCTTGAGGTGATCGACACTTTGGTATTTATACCCTACATCACATAGTGGTAAGGGTATTATGTCTTTGTGCATTTGTTTGTAACATGGAGAAGGAAACGAGATAGACCCATAGTTACTTTTGAGAACCTTCATAGAATCACTTTCTGAGTTGATTTATGCATGTCAGTCCGTCTGTCCGTCCGTCCGTCCGTCTGTCCATGTATTCTTGTGAACAAAATGCAGGTCGCATTTATTATCCGATTGAGATGAAATTTTCCAAGCAACATTTTTTTGGCCCAAGGACGAACCCTATTGAAATTGGTGAGAATCGGATCAAATTTAGATATAGCTCACATATATATCTTCATCCGATTTCGGGTTAAATGTGCACCAAATGTCCACTATCAGTCCAAATTACCTGAATTTCGGCACACCTAACCGAGTTCGGCCTAGAAGCAAGTATATCAAATTTGGAGAAAATCGATTCAGATATAGTTATAGCTCCCATATATATCTTTCATACGATTTGATCTTTAAGTCCCTCATATTCCTACTATGCACTCCACAACCGTGATATTTGGTACCAGGTATTAGATGGAGCACAGAAATAGCTGTTTTAAATTTTATCGAAATCGGTTCAGATTTGGATATAACTTCCATATATATCTTCATTCGATTTCGGGTTAATTGACCACCAAATGGCCAATATCAGCCCAAATGGCCCAAATTTTGGCACATGTGACCGAGATTAGCCTTAAAGCAAATACAACAAATTTGGAGAAAATCGGTTCAGAAACAGCTATAGCTCCCTTGTATATGTTTTATCCGATTTGGTGTTTAAGCCTTTCACATTCGTAATATGCACTCCACAAGAATGATATTTGGTACCAGATAAAAGATACAGCCCAGAAATAGCTGTTTGTAATTTTATCGAAATCGGTTCAGATTTGGATATAGCTCCCATATATATCTTCATCCGATTTCGGGTTAATTGTGCACCAAATGGCCGATATAAGTCCAAATGAACTGAATTTTAGTACATCGGACCAAATTCAGCCTAGAAGCAAGTATATTAAATTTAGTGAAAATCGGTTCAGATATAGATATAACAACCATATATATGTTTCATCCGATTTAGTGTTTTAGTCCCTTACATTCGTGATATTCACTCCACAACCGTGATATTCGGTACCAGGTATTAGATGGAGCACAGGAATAGCTGTTTTAAATTTTACCGAAATCGGTTCAGATTTGGATATAGCTCCCATATATATCTTCATCCGATTTCGGGTGATTGACCACCAAATGGCCGTAATAGCATCAATTTTGGCAAATCCTACCGAAACCAGCTTCAAAGACCTAAAATGGTAAAGACTAGACAAAATGCATTTTGAGCAAATGGTTTGTGTCTATAATACATAGAGTAACAGCTCATGGCACAGACATGTTAATATGAAAACCACAGTTACAGAAACGAATAACAAATAAAATTTTGAAAAATCCAAAATTTTGGTTTCGAAATTTTATTCTATAGACCTTTCCAAAAATTTGCATATTCCTTTAGCGGTTTAAATCTGTTAACATTGGTAACTATGTTGTTATGATATCGTAACAACAGAGGTATTTTCACAGGGTTGCCATGTTTTGACTCTGTCTTGTCCTATCTTTACACTTCTATGTCTTTGCCAGCTTAGAAGCACGTACACCAATTTTAGTAAAAATCGGTTCAGATATAGCTATAGCTCCCATATATATCTTCATCCGATTTCGTGTTAATTGTGCATCAAATGGCCAATATCAGCCCAAATGGCATGAATTTTCGTACATAAGACCGAATTCAGTCTAGAAGCTAATACGTCAAATTTGGAGAAACACGGTTCAGAGATAGCTATAGTTCGTAAAATGCACGATAGAATTAGATAGATTTTGATTTTGTACCAAATATCTCATAGAGCTCTGAAATGTCCTGTATAAACCTTTTTACGAGAGCTCTACTTAATATGCATAGTGGTGTAGGGTATCATATAGTCGGCCCCGCCCGACTTTTGAGCTTTCCTTACTGGTGTTTAGTTCCATCCTTGCTTTCTAGAATACTCCAGACACAATAGTCCAACGGATTGGTATCCGGAGATGTTGGTGGCCATTGTGCGCTGGAAATGAAGCGAGGAACCTCATTTTGTAAACATTTTTGGGTGGTGGGTGCTGAGTTCGATGGTGCTAAGTCCTGTTGGAACTTCCAAGGTCTGCGGTCAAAATGTTTGGTTCCCAAGACTTTAATACACCCTCCAGAATATTTTCTCGATAATATTCGGCATTTATTCTGATGCCACGGACGTTTAATACGAGCGGAAAGCGACCATCGGCTGTTATGGCGGCCCACACCATCACCATGGCCAACCGAGGGTGCACATTTTCAGCTGACCTCTTTGGCAAGTAAACACGTTCATTTTGTTTGTTTACAAACTGCTGGACAACGAATGTTTCCTCGTCGGATAAAACCAAATTCGGCTGTTCACCACTTTCGGCCAAGCGAAACAACTCTTTAGCACTTTTGAGTCTATTTTCTTTCTTTTTCAATATTTGCCGAATGGAATATTGCGATATGTTCAGCTCACGAGCCATTTTTGGGCCACTGCTACGCGGGTTTCGATCAAGTCGCTTCTTTACTTTTCGAACCATTTCTGCTGATGTTGCTGTTTTCTTCCGTCCATTTCCTTGACGTAGGGCTACGCTAGCAGTATCACGGTAACGAGCGCTGATACGAGACACAAAATTTATTTATTCATATTTAAATGCTGGAGTGTTCTAATTTCCAGCCGAATATAAAAAAACACACTATCACGCTTGAATTCCATCACGAATAATTTTTTTTCTGGAAAATTCTCACCACACACTCCTACAGCTAACCCAATTCCAAAGTTAAGCATTCCTTATTGGTTTGCCTAAATACAATTTGTACAAAATTTAGTGCCATATTGTTCAGATAAGTACGAATTTTCAAAGCTTCCTATATAACCCAATCCTACAGTCCAACAGCAATCTTAATTCCAAATTTTAAGATTCCAGCTCTATCGGTTCATATAAAATCCAATTTGTAGCAAATGTAGTATATATAGTATATATATAGTGCAGATAAGTACGAATTTCCGAAACTTTCTACATAACCCAATCCTACACTCCAACAGTAATCTTAAATCCAAATTTCAAGATTCCAGCTCTATTGGTTCTCCTAAATCCAAATTGTACCTTAAGTACAATTTTTTCACAAATACCTACGTCATACAGTCCAAGAGAAATCTTATCATCAAATTTCAGGATTCCAACTCTATAGGTTCTCCCAAAATTTAAATTGTATCAAATTTGGTACCATTTAGTACAGATTAGTACGAATTTCCAAAATTACCTACATTCCTCAGTCCGACAATGTAATAGCCATCTTATTTCTAAATTTCAGAATTCCACCTCTATGGGTTTTTCCAAAACAAAAATTTAGCAAATTTAGTACAATTTAGTACTTTTCTCTGCACAAAAGTACAAATTCCGAAAACTTCCTCCATATCCCAATTGCAACATTCCGCCAGTAATGTTAATTTCAAATTTCAGGATTCCAGCTCCATCCGTTCCTCCCAAATTCAAATTGTACTAAATTTAGTACCGTTTAGTACTTTTGGAATGATAAATGTGTATACACTTCCAAGACTACCCTATTACATCAACTGGACCCCTCAACCTTTATTCCCATTCCAAGTTTTATGTTTTTATCTCTAACCGTTCACGTGGTACGAAATATTACCAAATGTAGTATACATTGGAACTTTTCGTACACTTATAGTGCAAATTTCCAACAACCCTTTGGAACATTTATCATACAATCCATCAGAGACTCTCATTCTAAATTTAAGAGTTCTAGCTATACTGTCTCCTCAAATACAAATGGTACCATATTTATACCTTTTAATACATTCCCTACCGTTTTAGTGTGAATTTCTAAAAACCCAGCCTTCGGACCAAGACTAACCCTTAACCAAAATTTCAAGATTCTAACTTGAGGAGTTTCGTCTGGGCGTTGATGAAATGTTTAAAAATTTGACGAGAGCCAAAAATGCTAAATATAAATGTGAAACAAGTAAAAAAACTGTAAGTTCGGCCGGGCTGAATTTTGAATACCCTCCACCATTTGGAACGAATTTTTGTTAAACTTAAAAAAATAATGTAGCTAAAATCATCAAAATACCGAATATCGGGAGGTACCGTTATATGGGGGCTATACGAAGACGTGGACCTGCGCAGTCTTAGGCTGTAGTATCCATTAAGAACTTCAAATACCAAATTTGAAAGAATTCCGGTGAATAATGTCACTAAAATCAATAAAGTACCGAATATCGGGAGGTACCGTTATATGGGGGCTATACGAAGACATGGACCTGCATAGACAATCAGCTGTCATAGACTGTAGCATCCATTACGAATATCAAATACCAAATTTGAAAGAATTCCGTTGAATAATGTCACTTAAATCAGCAAAGTACGGAATATCGGGAAGTTCCGTTATATGGGGGCTATACGAAGACATGGACCTGCATAGACAATCAGCTGTCATAGACTGTAGCATCCATTACGAACATCAAATACCAAATTTGAAAGAATTCCGTTGAATAATGTCACTAAAATCATTAAAGTACCGATAATTGAGAGGTTCAATTATATGGGGCTATACCAAAATGCGGACCTGCACAGACAATTTTCTGACTTAGGCTGTATTATCCATTACGAACCTCAAATCCCAACATTAAAAATAATTCCGGTGAATAATGTCTCTAAAATCATCAAAATATCGAATATCGGGAGGTACCGTCATATGGGGGCTATACGAAGACATGGAGCTGCACAGACAATTTTCTGACTTAAGCTGTAGTATCCATTACGAACTTCATATACCAAATTTGAAACAATTCCGATGATTATTGTCGCAAAAATCATTAAAATACCGAATATCGGTAGGTACCGTTATATGGGGGCTATACCAAAACGTGGACCTACATGGCCCATTTTCAATACCAAAAGTCCTGCAGCCATAATATACATTTGAGTAAAATTTTATCAATCTACTGCATTTCGTTCGGAAGCTAGAGTGATTTCCACAGACGAATAGAGGGACAGACTAAATCGACATAGAATTTTATGCTGATCAAGAAAATATATACTTTTTGGGGCCTAAAATATATATTTCGAGGTATTACAAACGGAATGACAAACTTAATATACCCTCCATACTATGGTGGAGGTTATAAGAGAAGATTCACTTTATATATGTATATTCATAGAATGATGTGCAAACTAACCTCAAATATTTTCAGAAAATTAAACCATATTCTTACCTCTTTCTCACACTGGTCTCCCGTGGCGCAGAGTACAACAAAAATGGTCGTGAGCGGTAGAAGTGTTGCTCCGGTGATGACAATAAAATAACTCTCATAATAACCCATTGTGGTCAGCAGCGACCAATAGACGTGGATTATTATATCCAATACAATGACAGTTAAGATGCCTACCAACGACACCCCAAATATTCGATTATAGATTGAATGCAAAATGTAAATCTCATCATAGATCAATTTGAAATTCTCCAAATACTCGTAGGATTCCAAATGTTCGTAATTCACATCGAGGCAATGATAATTTTGGGAATTTTTACATGAAATCAAGGCCTGCAGTTTGCGATTCATCAACTCCAGATAAAAACAGATGTAATCTAGGGCCACCAGCATTTGTAGGCAACGGGTCCGTATGATCAAGACCGCCAATATGGCATGCCAAAAATAGCCATAATAATGGACGAAAAATATCACCAACATGACGAGCAATAAACTGCCATAGACCACGGCAATGAAAAGAAAATATTTACGCCTCTGGCGTTGACGTAACGTCACCGAGCAGAGTTGGGTCTGTAACAGCCGTTGCATTAGACTCTGTATCCTGTGGATATTTTCAATGAATCTATAATGTTCGCCATATGACAGTGCCGTCTCTATGAGTACAACAAATATCACTGTCATTTGTATTACAAAAACAATGACGCTAACCAAATCCGATATTACTGTCTTGTCTTCAAAGGGCATAACGACCACACCGTACAAGGTTAGCAACAGATTGAGAATAATTAACGCCCCCGTGTAAATTTGTTGCCAACGCAAATGGTGATTGGGGCCACCGCGAAGTACATCATCATTATCATCATGATGATGATGAACGAAATAATGCTGCTTGTTGTGATAATTGACATTATGCGGATAAGTATGAGAGAGGTGCTGGCACTGACTTCGGCACTGACACTGCCGCCGCCTTCTTCGTTGCTGATTTTGCCTCCTTCTCGTGTATGGCGCTAGGCCAAAGATGACAAAGAATTTTAAAAAATTCAAATGTAATTCGTTAACCATGATTACTTTTGCAACAAATTGTTGGTTCGGTACTGAGGGCAAATAAATTGGATTTTATATTTTTGTATTTGCTGTGAGATCCTTGTGTTTGTGTTTTGTTTTCATTTTGCGCTCGAATATTAGATGGGTAATTTATGTGAAATATTCACATGCCAGTGTTAATTTATTGGCGACAATTTATTTTATATTGGAATACACTCGAAGAAATTCTACCAAAAAAGGAATTGATTAAGACTCTTATTACACCATTTAACAACACTGTACGTTTGATAGGCCCCAAAATTATGTAACACCTCGAAATATTGGTGCCCCACATTGGAATGTATATATGGGTCTTCCTATCTCGCCAAGCTGATTTGATCTAGCTATGTATGTCCGTCTGTCCTTGTTTATTTGTAATCATGCTGATAGCCAAGATATGGGATATATAGCAAAATAGGTGTAATATATAAGTACAAGAAAAAGTTGTAATACCTATAAATAAAGAACCGCCGGATTTTCACGATTCTTATCAATTCGGAATGGTTTCTTGTCAAAAAAGGATAAAACCTAAGAAAATCGCGTAAAAATATGCCAATAAAAAAGAGAATATTTTTTGTTACATTTTTATACCCTCCACCATTCTATGGAGGTTATAATAGCTTTGTCATCCCGTTTGTAATTCCTCGAAATATTCATAATAGACCCTACCCATTATATATATTCTGGATCAGCGTAAAATTCTAAGATGATCTAGCGATGTTTGTCTGTTTGTCTATCCGTCTGTCTGTTGTAATCACGCTATCTTTCGAACGAATTGAGATAGAAAGCTACAATTTTGCATGCATGCATACTTTACCAGTAGGCAAGTTCGTAAATGGGCCATGTCCGTCCACGTTTTCGTATAGCCCCCATATAACGGTACCTTCCGATATTCGGTATATTTATATATTATATTTCAATTTTCATATTTAAAATTTGTAATGGGTACTTCAGCCTATGACAACAATGTTTGTATGTCCACGTCTTCGTATAGCCCCCATTTAACGGTAACGGTCGGTATTTTGATGATTTTAGCAATATTATTCACCGAAATCATTTCAAATTTCATATTTAAAGTTCGTAATGGGTACTACAACCCATGGTACAATGAAGAGAAGGTAGGTCAACTTTGAAAAAATTGCAAGTATAGAGGTCTACCTGTTTGGCTTGTAATGTCAGAATTGCTACCAAAACAATAAAAAATCAAACAACTTGTTGCATTTATTTTGAATAAATAATTTCAAACCGCGAAAAATGAATGAAAGGTCAAAATTTCTTTTCAAAATCATGTTCTATATATCTCTTATGGTTTATTTCGCGACAAAAACTGTAGATTTTGTCGAGGTATACGTTGCAATAAGCATTTTGAAAACACCCAAATTTGAATATTTCCTGAACAATTTTTTTATTATTGAAAAAATACACACACATAAACATATGAAGTTGACATATTAAGCCAGAAAAATAAAAAAAATTGAAATCATATGGTTGTTCTGCCCTACATTGAATTCATTGTACCATGCTACAACCCATGGTACAATGAAGAGAAGGTAGGTCAACTTTGAAAAAATTGCAAGTATAGAGGTCTACCTGTTTGGCTTGTAATGTCAGAAATAGTATCAAAACAATAACAAAATCAAACAACTTGTTGCATTTATTTTGAATAAATAATTGAAAACCGCGAAAACTGAATGAAAGGTCAACACTTCTTTTCAAAACCAGGTTCTATATATCTCTAAAGGATTATTTCGCTACAAAAACTCTAGATTTTGTCGATGCATACGATGAAATAAACATTTTGAAAACATCCGAATTTGAATGTTTTCTGAACAATTTTTCCGTTATTGAAAATAAAACACATACATAAACAAATAAAGATGACATATTAAGCCAAGAAAATAAAAAAATTGAAATCATATGGTATCAAAGCCCTACCTTGATATTATTGTACCATGCTACAACCTATGGTCAGTGGTCAGCATGATGTACCGAAAAAAATAAAATTTTAAGATGGACCAAAACTTTCCTGTGAAATTGTTTTCAATACCTAACAACACGACCGAGTGCGTGAAAAATATTGGGCGATTGCCACCGGTCAAAAAGTTAGGGGTAAAATCTTGGCAGGGCTCTATGACATCATTTCGAAAACGAAATCTTTCGAAATGGATGCGGACATTAGGTCGCTTGCAAAATATTGTAGAATTGTAGGATATCACATTTATATGTATTGAACATTTTATAACACATATTGTGCATTTTTTGGAGGTATAATTGAATAACAGAGCTTGTTTTCTTTGCAATACTTTTCAGATTTATAGTTTCTCTACATTTGTTACACTATGCATAAAATCTTTATATCATAGAAATATGATATAATCAAAACCAGTAAAGAAAGTCTTAAAGTCGGGCGGGGCCGACTTTATGATACCCTACATCACTTTGCTAATTTAGTAGAGCTCCACCTAACAATTAAAAGTTTTTATGGGAGAATTCAATCATACACGCTATGATTATAATTATTATTTAAAGTTCAAAGGACTAAATATGCCGAAGCATTTGTATCTTTTAAATTCGGAATTGTATTGCCCATTTGGTGCACAATTAATTTAAAATCGGATAAAAATATATATGGGAGCTATATCCAAATCTGAACCGATCTTGATAAAATTTGGCAAAGATATTTCTGAGCTGTATTTGATATATTTCCCTGAATATCGTTGTTACGGAGTGCATATTACTGTTGTGGGTAACAAATATAACAAATCGGATGAAAAATATATATGGAAGCTATAGCTATATCTGAACCTATCTTCACCAAATTTGACATACTAGCTTCTAGACTCAATTCGGTCGTAAGTACCGAATTCCATCCCATTTGGACAAATGTTAGACGTTTGGTGCACAATAAAAGGTAAATCGGACGAAGTTATATATGGGAGTTATATCCAAATCTGAACCGATCTCGATAAAATTTAGCAAATGTATTTCTGAGCTGTATTTGATATATTTCCCCAAATATTGTTGTTGCAGAGTGCATATTACGGCGGTGGTGGACAAAAATAACAAATCGGATGAACAATATATATGGGAGCTATAGCTGTTAGCGGGAGAATCAAATTCTAGAACTTGTTTGTTCGTTTGTCAGTTTAATTCTAATTTTATTGAACAAAATGTATTACTTAAGTGCTAGTACACAACAGAAATCTTAGGGGGGTTTAATCTTATGCATCTACTTAAGGCTACAAACACTTGACATTTCTAATTCTATGCATAGGCCTAATGCAACACACAATTGCTGTGATCTATATTTACTCCCCAGCTGAGCGCATGTTTATGGGAGAATATTCTTTATTATCAATGCGTCTCCAGCAGCATGAAGTGTTATCATCCCTTATGCTCTTATCTTTCATGCACACACATTTACAAGTACTCTAGAATGTTGGGTTAAAATTACATAAACATTTTATAGCCTAAATCACTTAACGATCTAATTTATTGCAGCAGTCTTTCATGTTCATAGTTTTATGAACAATAGCTATATCTGAACCGATTTCGATAAAATTTGGCATACTTATTTTCCGGCCTAATTTGGGTGTATATGCAAAATTCCACACAATTCGGGCTGATATTACACGTTTGGTGCACATAAAAGGCAAATCGGACGAACATATATATGGGAGCTATATCTAAATTTTGACCGATTATCTCCAATTTCAATAGGGTTCGTCCTTGGGCCAAACAAATGATCTGTGCAAAATTTCATCTGGATCGGGCAATAAATGCGACCTGTACTTTGTTTACAAAAATACATGGACAGACGGACGGACGGACATGCATAAATCGACTCAGAATGTGATTCTATTCAGATCATCAAAAGGAACTATGGGTCTATCTCGTTTCCTTTTGCCTGTTACAAACAAATGCACAAAGACATAATACCCTGACCACCTTGTGGTGTAGGGTATAAATACCAGGTTGGCTCAAAGCCATGATCTTTTTATTGTATACCCCTAAGAATTATGGCCTCTAAGTCATTACTATTTAAAACAAGTTAAAAGGTATCGGTCGGGTTCGCCGACAGATGTATACCCTCAGCCAATGTTGGATTATTTAAACATATTTTGACTTGTGTTATGATTATTCAAATTGTTGACCCTCTATGGAGTAGGCTCTGAAGAAATGGGCCAATTATGTCCACTTTGTATCAGATCTAAATAAATATGATACGTTGACCCTTTTTGGGGGAGTTACCAGAGGGAGTGTACCGACATATCCCATCAGATCTAGAATTAGTAGAAATAACGGGATCTGAGAAATATGAAGAGAACCGAATTCTTGTTTCGGATTTTATAATTATTTAGAAGTGGATCTATATATTTGCATCTATGCACTAGACCTTGGGTTAATAAAAATATTGTGAAGTGTGTAATGTAAAGACAATCGGACACTTTCATCACATTCCGATATTGTCCATTTTCGCACCTGACCTAGCACTGAGCAAAGTTGGGGCTAAATCGGATTATTCTTTCCGTTTTTGTGGAGTAAATATTTTTTTTTGAAAATTTCAACCTTTTTTGGGGTAGGTATCAGAAGGAGTGGACCGATATTGCCCAGTTTGATAATAATATATGCCAAGTTTGACCAAATCGGACATTCCCTTCGAGAGTTATTGTGCGCACCAGCCAGACAGACAGACGGACATCGCTAGATAGACTCCAAATGTACTGATACGGATTTGGTCCAAAAAATCCTATTTCTATGAAGCACGTTTTGGCTGTATCAAATGATATATACCCTCTGTAGCTAAATGACACTAAATAAAATGACGATAAAATTATTAAAATTCCGAATATTGGATGGTGAAGTAATATGGAGGCCATCATTGACCTGTATGTATATTTATCTGTCGGAGAAAGCCGCGCTTGTTATGTTCGTAACAATAACAAGTTTAAAATAATTTCGTTGAAAAGCGTGGGTAAAATCATCAATATACCGAATATCTGGAGGTATTGTTATATGCGAGCTATACGAAAACTATGATATATACTTAAAGACAATTTTTATACTCTCCACCATAGTATGGAGGGCATATTACGTTTGTCATTCCGTTTGTAACACTTTGATATATACATAGACCCCGCAATGTATATACATTCTTGATCAGCATTCTATTCTATGTCGATTTAGCGATGTCCGTCCATCTGTAAAAATTACTCTGGCTTCCGAACGAAATGAGGTAGGTTGATAAAATTTTAATAACGCAGACAGGTTCACATTTACTTATAGTCACCATGTAACTGTAACTTACGTCGGACTCGTTTCAAATATCGTATTGGAAGTTGGTAATATATACCACAATCTATGAGAGAAAAGTGTCTATGCAGGTCCATGTCTTTGTATAGCCCCCATATAACGGTACCTCTCTATATTCGGTATTTTGATGAATTTAGCGACATTGTTCACCGGACTCGTTTCAAATTTCGTATTTGAAATTCCTAAAAGGTATCACAATCTATGACAGAAAATTGTCTTTGCAGGTTCTAGTCTTCGTATAGCCCCCATATAGTAGTACCTCCCTATATTGGGTATTTTGCTTATTTCAGCAACACTAACAACCCGAGTTGTTTCGTATTTGAAGTTCGTAATAGATGCTACAATCTATGATAGATAATTTTAGAATTTCGTATTTGAAGTCCGTAATGGATACTACAGCCTATGACATAAAATTGTTGGTGCAGATCCACGTATTCATATAGCCCCGATGTTACGGTACCTCCCTTTGATGATTTTAGTAACATTATTCACCGGAATTGTTTCAAATTTGGTATTTGAAGTTCGCAATAGATACTACAGCATATGCCTGAAAATTGTAGGAGCAGTTCCACGTTTTTTAACTCCCATGATACCTTCCTATATTCGGTATTTTGATGATTTTAGCTACATTATTAACAGTTTTTTTTTAAGTTTCGCATTTGAATATTGTAATAGCTTTGACAAAAGTTGCCTATGACCCTAATATACGGCAACGTTCGGTATTTTTAAGATTTTAACGGATTTTATTTTTTTGAAAATTGCCAAATTTGTACCAAGTGGTGGAGGTTATTCAAAGTTCGGCCCGGTCGAACTTACAGCTAACTTACTTGTTTTTATTTAAATTATGTTTTTCTATTTATTAGTTTTCATTCAAATAAAAACTTCAAATTATAACCAGCTTTGAACTTTCAGAGACTCATATTTTACATACAAAAGTAGAGAAAACTGGTTCCCATCTCTGAATTGTAAATATAACGGTTTTCCAATAAGATATGTTATTTGGGTATACAAAGGAAATTCCATTATCATAATATGCTTATGTCAAATTAATCAAAAACAATATCAACCAAATAATCGATTCGGTTTTATACAAATGTATGTTATGACTTCTAGCTTTTCTCTCAGTACGTTCTAGGTCTTCTATTAGTGTCGATATTTTTAGTACAATGGCGATTTTAACAATATTTTCCAAGTAAATTGACGGTTTAATGGATATAAATAGGAAAGTTTACCGGACATAGTTAACCTGGGGGATTTAAATTGAAATTTCCTTTCAATATACTGCAAATAAATTATCACAAAGGATATTAAACCGGCACAAAGCTAAGATTGAAACATGCAGTAAATTAACCAATATAGGCTATTTTTTAAATTTTAAAGGCTATATTTTCATAAATTTTCGAGAAAAATTCTAACCAACGCATAACAGTAACAACCTATGTTATTTGATGTTGTATATTTTTCTCCGCATTATTCATTTAATTCTAATTATTACTTTTATTAAACATTTATATCAGATTTTTCTTACACGTTTTTCCAAATCTTTCTTACATCATTTAACAAATGTCAAAAAAATATATATTAACACACAATTATCAATATAATTTTACATTTTTGCTTTTGATGTTTTGACAGAATTAAGTTCTATACTAAATAATTATTTAGTATGTTTTGTTTTATTTAATTTAATTTCCGTTAAGTGATTAAAAATTGATAATCTCTGGAAGCACGTACACATGCAGCGAGAAGGAGAGCAGATTGACTGATGTTCTGTCACGAATCATCCACAAGAAGAAAAAAAATAGAAAGCGGGGATCAGTTGAAAATCAAATCGATTTCTATAAATACCAAAGATTAGTTTGAATTTCATTCAATTAAGTTTTGAATTTTATTAAGAAAACATCAAATGAAAAACCGGACTGAAAAATCAAACTGAAAACTGAATTAAATTAAAATATTCAAAAAAAGAAAAATAAAATATTCAAAACATATTGAATGAGTGTGTGTGTGCTGCAAAGTGAAAGACAAGAAAGAAGTTAAAATGAAAGTGAGTAACGAACGAAGAAGTTAAATGAAGTTTAATAAATTCAAATGTGGGGTTTATGACTGACTGGTGGTAGTGGATTGTTGAATGAAATTGTGAATAGATTAAAGTTGAAAAAAGTTAAGTGATTTAGAAAAGATTCTATAAGAAATGTTTCGTGTGAAAAAAAAAATTAAATCTTTGAATTTAGGGTCTATATTTTGAAGTGAAATTCGTCTAATTTCTACTCAAAAGTTTTTATTGTAGGCAAAAAAGATTTTTTGTTTTATTTTTGCCACCCATAAATGATTTGTTGGACTTACAAGACCAACAAATTGTGCTCCATTACTACCCATCATTGGATTTATTAAATATTATTATAATTATTATACCCTCCACCATACACAGTATTGAGGGAATCTTAAGTTCGTCATTCGGTTTGTAACTCATGCAAATAATAATTTTAGACCTAAAAAAATATACATATTCTGGATCAGCGTTCTTAGATCATTTCCCTGTTCGTCCGTCCCTTTGTTGTAATCACGCTGGAGTCAAACGATGTAAGATAGAAAGCTAAAATTTTGCACAGAGCAGTATTTCGTCTGCTGGCAGGTCAAGTTCGAAGATGGACTATATCGATCCACGATATTGTATAGTATCCATATAACGGTACACAAGGAGTTCCTTCTGAGTATTTTACCCTCTAGAAGAGAATTGTCTATATAGGTCCACGATATCGTATAGCCCCCCATACAACGGTACCCCCAATATTCGCTATTTTGATGATCCATGCGACATTTTTAGTGACTATTAAACATTAAATTTCGTATTTAAAGTACGTTATGTGTACTACATCCTATAATAAAAAATTACGTATTGAGGTCCACATCTTCGTATAACCCCCATATAACGATACCTCCTGATATTCGGTGTTTTAAGGATATTAACGGCATTATTCACCGGAATTGTTCCAGATTCAGGATATGTTTCATGAATGGTTACCAAAGCTTATAACACAAAATTACTTATGCTGGACCACGTCTTCGTATAACCCCTATATAACGGTTTTCCCTTGAGCGTTATTTTTCGAATTTCGGATTTTTTTGGTAATTTTTGCTTCAAAATTGTGTAGGGTATTAAAAGTTCGGCCCAACCGAATTTAGCTTATTTACCCTTTTTTTAAAACATACGGATAAAAAAATAATTTTAGACTAATTTCACTGAAATGCAAAAAAATCTGACAGGTATAGAAGTACAAATTGGCCTTAAGAGGATACTCTCAGCTATCTCCAGGTGAAAATATTTTTTGATCTTTGGAAGTTTTTATCCACTTAGACCTGAAAAATGTGCCATACATAAACACCTAAGAAAATACTACTAGTCAATTAAAGAATTTCGCTACGGAATTCAGATCCCACGAATGTTTATAAGCATGGGGTTGAATGTTTATATATCTGGGGAATACATATAAATATAATAAATAAATAAATTTTAAATAAAAACTTTAAAAAATAAAAATTATTTCAACAAACAGAAAGGCAGCCCCCATATAACATTACAAATGTTCCGTATTTTGAGGATTTTAGCGACAATTTTTACCGGTATTGTTTCAAATTGTTTTTTTTTTTGTTTTTCGTATTGGTTACTACCTATAACAAAAAATCGTTTATGCAATGACAATATTTTTTCATCAAACATCATACATCGTTCTAAATTGAGACTTGCAAGGTTTTATATAATATAGCTGAACCCGGTGCATTTAAAATTTTATATAAGAATATTAATTTCACAGCAAATGCCGAGTCTGCTAGAAACTGCAATCTTTTAAAATTGAGTGGTATTTCCGTTAAAATTAAAAAAAATCGAAGTAGAGATATATATATGGGAGCTATATCCAAATCTGAACCGATTTGTATATGATTTGACAAATTAATTTTTGTACAAAATTTAGTCACTCATGCTGAATTTCATTGGAATCGGACACACGTATCGTGTTGGGTGTATCATCTAAACGAAATCGGTTGAAAATATATATGGGAGCAATATACAAATCTGAACCGATTTCAATATAATTCGGCAAATTTATTTTCTGAGCAAATCCTTTCACTCATTCTAAATTTCATTTGAATCGGACACACATATCGTGTTTAGTACATCAAATAAACGAAATCGGTCGAAAATATATATGGGAGTTATATCTAAATCTGAACAGATTTCTATATAATTAAGCAAATAAATTTGTTAGACAAATTCCGTTACACATTCCAAATTTCATTGAAATGTGAGTTTAATATCTATATCTAAATCTGAACCGATTTTTGGATATAATTTGACTAATTTATTTTCTGTCTAAAATCCCTTCACACATTTCAAATTTCATTGGAATCGAAAATGTATATAGTTTTCGGTGCATCAAACACATGAAATCGGCCGAAAATATATATGGGAGCTATACTCAAATCTGAAACGATTTCAATATAATTTGCAAATTTTGTTTTGTTCAAAATTCCCTTACACATTCCAAATTTAGAGACTGTATCTATAATCGATAATTAGAATTCTAAATTCTTGGAGCTACCTCCGATTCTGATGCTATAATTCCAGTTCCAAGTGGAATTTCAAAAATATATATAGCCTATGTTACTTTCAGGCGATGTTGTAGTATACTTCCAAATTCTCAGGAAAATTTTTGCAGCTGTTTTCGAGTCCATAAATTACAAACAAACATACAAACATTTTCCTCTTTTATATATATAGATTTCAAGTTTCACATAATACCAAAAGGGTACCATTTTAGAAAGTTAGTACCATTTAGAACTTTTCGTAACCATAAAGTTCGAATTTCCATAAAACCATTTGGTACATCTATGCCGCACTCCATCAGTGGTTTTCAGTCCAAATTTCAGAATTCTAGTTTATTCAATTTGTCCAATACAAAGTATTTAAATTTTAGTATTTTTCGTAACCTTTTAGTACAAATTTCCAAAAACCAAGCGTTATCATACGCCTTCGCATCAAGCTGACCCTCGGGCCAAAATTTCAAGATTCTAGCTTCAGCCATTTCTGGGCGGCGTTGATTTTACATCAGTCAACCAGTTATTTCAGTACTCTTTTATATATATTCCACAATTCCCTACGTACGTATTTTAGAAACATTTTCAAAGAACTTGTAGGATGGAGGTCTTTTGAAAATATTTTGTAACATTTTTAACCTCCAAATTCGATTGAAGAGTAAAACTTTCTCTCTCTCTCTCCCATAGTTCACGGCAACATTCGAATCGATTTGCTGTTACACGCATAAGTGCGAATACACAAATCAGCAAACAAAATGTTTCTTCTCTTAAATCTGACAAACATTAGTGACCCGGGAGCGATCCCACACAAAACAAATGAGTGAAAAGTAAATTTCGTATAAAGCACCCACTATTCGAGCATTTCTCTCGTGAGCAAGAGCGAAAACAGCAAATCTGTGCGCTGTTTGGAAATTTTAAAACTGGTTTCCTAAATAGTTATTATTTTAGAAAGTCTTTGAAAAGATATGCTATAAATAGAGATTCTTTCTTAAGACGCTCCTAAAAGTCTTCTAAAGACACAAGACCTAAATGAGTTCTGTAAAGTGAATATACATCATGCGTTGCCGTATCAACTAACCAAACTTTTTCTTACTCAGCTAAAGTCAGCCGTTGTTTAGCCAGGGGGCATTACTCACCCACAAACTTCCTCTCTCTCTCCCTCCCTCTCTTTCTTAATTTTTGGACATCTATGATATTCGTTGTTCTTCTTGTGTTAAAATACTCCAAAAAGTTCTTCTCTATACTCATAATGATCATCCTCTCTTGTCTTACTTTTTCTTCCAGAACCCGTTGAGAATTGCCATTATTGGCCAAAGTAACTTTGCCGCCGATGTTTTGGAATTGTTGTTGGAGAAAAAATACAATGTTGTCGGCGTTTTCACCATACCCAACAAAGGTTCGCGGGAAGATATTTTAGCCGCAACTGCTGCCCGTTACAATATACCCGTCTTTAAATTCTCAACATGGCGTCGCAAAGGTGTTGCCATACCCGAAGTTTTGGAACAATACAAATCGGTACAGGCCACACTAAATGTGTTGCCATATTGTTCTCAGTTTATACCCATGGAGGTGATAGATGGTGCTTCTCTGGGTAGTATTTGCTATCATCCCTCGATATTGCCTAGACATCGAGGTGCCAGTGCAATATCATGGACTTTGATTGAGGGTGATGAGGTGGCTGGATTTTCCATTTTCTGGGCTGATGATGGTTTGGATACAGGACCAATTTTGTTGCAAAAACAGGTTGCAGTTGAGGCCACCGATACTTTGGATAGTTTGTATAAGAGATTCCTGTATCCCGAGGGTGTTAAGTCTATGGCCGAGGCAGTGGATATGGTGGCATTGGGGAAGGCTCCTAAAATTACCCAAACCGAGGTGGGGGCTACCTATGATGCGGCCATGTTTAAGGAGGAAAATCAATATTTGAATTTGAATCAAAGCGCAGAGGTTATTTGGAATTTTATAAGAGGATTGGATTCCGTGCCAGGAGCATTGGTAACGGTGGTAGATAAGGAACAGAATGTGGAGGAGAATATTCGATTGTTTGGAGCCCATTTGTATGATGACAAACCAATTGGAGAGACCAGGGAGTTGTGCTTAAAGGGCCTCAAGCATCCGGCTTTTGTCCATGAAAAAGGTCTACTGATCCAGGGCACCGATGGTAAATTTGTGAACGTTAGACGTCTCAAGCGTGGCTCGAAGATGATTAATGCCTGTGAGTGGTTTAGCATGGCCAGGGGTGTACAAATTACCCAATTCTCGGCGGATGAGTTGAGTAAAAAGGAAATGTTGAGCAACATTTGGTTCTCAATTTTGAAGTGCCCCATTGAGGCCGATACAGACTTCTTTGCTGCTGGAGCTGGTTCCATGGATGTGGTCCGTCTGGTGGAGGAATGTAAGGAGGCCTTTGATGTGCCCTTGGAGAATGAAAATGTCTATATGGCCCCAGTCTTCGAAGAATTCTTTGTGGAAATTGTGAAAACTCTGAGAGAGGGTTCCTCTTCGGAGGGTTCTAAGGTTCACTTTGATGGTTTCGTATTGAAGGCCAATAAGAAGGAGATTCCCATACCCACCCAATTGTTTATCAATGGCCAATTTGTGGATGCTGAACAAAGGCGAGTATTGGATAACATAAATCCCACAAATGAGGAACTTTTGTGTCGGGTGGCCTGTGCCTCTCGCAGTGATGTGGATAAGGCTGCCACAGCGGCTCACAATGCCTTCTATGGGGCATGGCGTCAAGTTTCGGCCAGGCAAAGGGGTCAACTCATATTAAAATTGGCCGATTTAATGGAGCAACATAAAGAGGAGTTGGCCACCATTGAATCCGTGGACTCGGGCGCCGTTTATACCTTGGCCCTGAAGACCCACATTGGCATGTCCATTGATGCTTGGCGTTACTTTGCCGGTTGGTGTGATAAAATCCAGGGTAATACCATACCTGTAAATCCGGCCAGGCCCAATAATGTGCTGACCTTTACCAAAAAGGAACCGCTGGGGTAAGGATCGCATATTCCTAACTTTCCAAAAATATTTATTTAACGGAATTCATCTTTTTTCAGTGTGGTGGGCCTTATTACACCCTGGAATTACCCACTTATGATGTTGTCCTGGAAAATGGCTGCCTGTATTGCAGCTGGCAATACTTGTCTGATAAAACCAGCTCAAACATGCCCCCTGACAGCCTTGAAGTTTGCCGAACTCACAGTCAAGGCCGGCTTTCCTCCAGGTGTCATTAACATTGTCACCGGCAAGGGTTCCGAGGCGGGCCAGGCCATTTTGGAACATCCTTTGATAAGGAAACTGGGCTTCACTGGTTCCACCGAAATCGGTAAAACTGTTATGCGAGCCTGTGCCGAGTCCAATCTCAAGAAATGTTCCCTGGAGCTGGGTGGTAAATCGCCATTGGTGATATTTGCCGATTGTGATTTTGAAAAGGCTGTGAAATATGTAAGTTCTAGCTCTCTCACTCTCGCTCTCTCACTCTCGCTCTCTCTCTCTCTCTCTCTCTCTCTTTTGAAGAACATTTTAAATCAAACTCTAAAATATTCCCAATTTTCTATCTCTTGACAGGGTATGTCTTCGGTATTCTTTAACAAGGGGGAGAACTGCATTGCCGCTGGCCGTCTCTTCGTTGAGGATCGCATTCACGACGAATTTGTGCGACGTGTTGTAAAGGATCTGCGCTCCATGGTCATTGGCGATCCCCTGCAACGCTCCACAGCCCACGGTCCTCAAAACCACAGAGCACATTTTGAAAAACTTATTGAGTTCTGTGAACGTGGCGTCCAAGACGGTGCCACCCTGGTTTATGGCGGTAAACCGGTACCCAATACCAAGGGTTATTTCTTCCAACCCACCGTATTCACCAATGTCGAAGATCACATGTTCATTGCCCAAGAGGAATCGTTCGGTCCCATTATGTTAATCACGAAATTCCATGGCAGTGATATTGAATCGGTTATGCGTCGTGCCAATCGTTCGGAATATGGTCTGGCCAGTGGCGTTTTTACCAAGGACATTGCTAAGGCACTGGCCTTTGCCGACAACATTGAGGCCGGCACCGTGTTCGTAAATGTTTACAATAAGACTGATGTTGCCGCACCATTTGGTGGTTTCAAACAGAGCGGTTTTGGCAAGGATCTCGGCCAGGAAGCTTTGAATGAATATCTCAAGACTAAATGTGTTACCATTGAATATTAGAATGGAATTGTAGGATTAAGATGTTGAACTGTTTTTTTTTTTTTTTTGTATAGATAATAAGTTTTTAGTTAATAAAATTATTGAAATGTAATGCATGATGATGGATAAAATTGTGGTGTTCGAAAAAGGAGGAAAAAGGTTGTGCCATAAAATGTAACAAATACGGAAAGTATTGAAAGGGTTAAGAGTAAGGGTAAAAAAGTAATTTTGAATTAGAAGTCAGTTTGAATTTCATCCTCTTGCTGGAAACTCCTGCATTTTACTTGCTAAAAATTGCAATTAGCCTTTATTTGTGTTGAAAGTCTGGTGGACGATACTGAACCTAAGGATTAGATCTTCCTTTCAAATTTCAAGTATCAATGTAGAAATGTATGTGGAGTAAATTGTTCCTTCTCTGTGAAAAACAAGGTAAAAATGGTCCTGATTATCGTTGAAAGAGAAACTTAACTCCTCTATTCATTCTTCTCTTTGTCATCCTTCCTTGGATAAACATATGTTATTTTTAGAATATTTCGGCATGAATTATTCAATATTTAAAAATGGCCATAACCCCTTAAATATTAACATTTCGGGGTTTTTAGCTATTATTTGTGATCACTTTTTGAAGTATAAGTTATTCAATATTTTAAAATGGCCGTAACTCCTTAAATATTAACATTTCGGGGTTTTTAGCCATTATTTGTGATTACTATTTGAGGCATGAATTATTCAATATTTTAAAATGGCCATAACTCCTTAAATATTAACATTTCGGGGTTTTTAGTTATTATTCGTGATCACTTTTTGAGGCATGAATTATTCAATATTTTAAAATGACCATAACTCCTTAAATATTAACATTTCGGGGTTTTTAGCTATTATTTGTGATCACTTTTTGAAGTATAAGTTATTCAATATTTTAAAATGACCATAACTCCTTAAATATTAACATTTCGGGGTTTTTAGCCATTATTTGTGATTACTATTTGAGGCATGAATTATTCAATATAACAATATGGCCATAACTCCTTAAATATTAATATTTCGGGGTTTTTAGCTATTTTTTGTGATCACTTTTTGAGGCATGAATTTTCAATATTTTAAAATGGCCATAACTCCTTAAATATTAACATTTCGGGGTTTTTAGCTATTATTCGTGATCACTTTTTGAGGCATGAATTATTCAATATTTTAAAATGGCCATAACTTTAATAAAGTAATTTGTTAAACTGTGAATTCAGCGAAAAAGTGACACTTGATGGTCCTGTAAAAAATAGAATAATGATTGGACATACAATAAGGATGTATAACAGCTTCGTAAAATTACAGATATACAGCCTTGAGGCTCTGCTCGGTTCCTGTCAGAATTATTCAATATAAAATTTTTAAAATGTGTTCAATAGCGCGAAAATAATAAAATCACTACCATGGGATAGATACAAGCCGGAATATATGATATTAAAAAACGTATAATTTATAGAGATTTTATTGAACAAAATATATATATGTTGGGCTCCAATTTCCTATACAAAAATTATTCATAACAAGTAAAAAAGCAGTAAATGCGGCCGCGCCGAACTTTGAATACCCTCCACTATTTTGACGAATTTGGACATTTTCAAAAAAATAAAATCCGTTAAAAATTATGTTAAAATTTTAAAAATAGCGAATATAGCCGTTATATTGGGTTCTATACGAAGACGCGGACCTGCATTCAAATTATTCAAATCCGAAACTCGAAAAAAATAAATCCGGTGAAAATGTGGCTACAATCATCAAAATACCGAATATAGATAGGTACCGTTGTATCCGGGCTATACGAAGACCTGGACCTGCATAGACATTTTTCTGTCATAGGCTGTAGTACATATTAGAAGTTGTACCTAAAATCGTTAAAGTAGCGAATATTTCGAGGTACCGATATATGGAGGCTTGGACATGCAGAGAACATTTTCTGGCATAGGCTATTGTTCGTATTACGAATTCTAAATACAAAATTTGACATCTCCGGTGAATAATGTCCTTAATATCGCCAAAATATCGAATATCGAAGGTACCGTCGTATGTGGGCTATACGATTTCGTGGACCTATATAGATTTCTCTTCCAGGGGGTAAAGTTCTTAGAATGAAGTTCTAGTATGTATTTTTATACAATGCCATTAAAAATGTATCTAAAATCATCAAAATACCGAATATAGGGAGGTACCGTTATATTGACAGTACTCTTTCAGGAGGTAAAGTACTCAGAAGACTCTCCTTATGTGGATTTTCAGACAATTTCATTGATAAATTTGGCTACAATCATCAAGATATCGAATATCGGGGGGTACCGTTATATGGTGGCTATACAATATCGTGGACCGAACTTTATCTGCCTGGAAACAAAAGACAGATATGTGAAAAATTTTAGCTTCCTATCTTAATTCGTTTTGTCTGTAGCGTGATTATAACAGACGGATGGACGGAGAGGGCTAAATCGTCTTAGAATTTTATGCTGATCAAGAAAATAAATACTTTGTTATGTCTAACATTATTATTTCGATGAGTTACAAACGGAATGACGAACTTAATATGCCCTACACATTATGTATTGCGGGGGGTGTAAAAAAAATTTATCGCAGAGTGAGTGAGACACCGTGGCACGTTTTTCTTGGACATGTTGGACGCCACTACAAATGAAGCACATAAAATAATTTGTACAACACGAAAAGTAGTTAGAATAAAATATCGGAAAACTCTGAAGCTAACAGTGATTCAGCACTGTCTATTGAATCACAAATTACACGTCGATGGCTGAAAGAGCCTGAAAGTTAATATTGAGAGTGTACGATTATTAAAAAAATTGGATATCAGTTTCGCTTATGAAATGGACCACTGCGAATTAATTTTTTGACATGTGAAGCAGAAAATTAGTAATTTAATGGCATTGTGAACAACAATATCCCATACTTTACTGGTTCAAAGATAAACCTGCTCATTGTGGTAGCAGAGAGAGAGAGAGAAAAAGAGAGAGAAAGAGAGAGAGAGTTAACTTGGAACAGATTAATGAACATGTTAATGGCAGAGAAAAGAGTTGAGACAATTGGGAAAATGTGTATTTTTTTGAATTATGGGCACAATTTTCTAAAACTAAGTTTGGGCGCCACTATCAATGGACCCTTCATAAAATAATTTGTAGATCTCCGAATGTAATGAGAAACAGATACCTACAGTTTCAGTGGTCATTGCTGGAGCACACTATGTAAATCGAGAATGCTGAAGGAAGAATGGTAATTATTAAAAAGTATATTATTGACAAAGTTTATATTGGGCGCCATTTTCCTAAATACCAAAGAACTACCTTAATGCGTTTATTGATCTCAAGTGGCAATAAGAAGTTGTATACTGATGTCACTGTGGACAAAAATATGCTGAGCTCTATTCCGCTAACAGATGTTAAAAATAGGCTTGGTCATTGCATTGATTTGGAGAAGACGGCTAAAGTGAAAATTGAATATGATAATGAGAGGATAAAAGAACAGAAAAGAGATAAAAGAACAGAAGAGACATAAATAAGTAAAGATCAAACATTTTTTACAAATGTAAGACCTCGTTCACGTTGGGCGCCACTTAAAATTCACCTTCATAAATTAACTTGTTAAAGCCCAAATGTAACAAGAAACAAACGCCAAAAGGCTCTGGGCATAGGTAGAGCTTAACGATGGTGTAGTCCTTGCTGAAGCATAAACTATACATTGATAAACTGATATTATTCCTGCAGCAGAAAGTTAACTGGGAGAAGACGACATTAAATATTATGATGCGAGTGTAAAAGGACAGAAAGAAGTCAGTTAAAGATGTGCGATTCTTTAAATGTTTCGTATATTTTGTTTGAAAGAAACTTACGTGGATAACTTCTTTATACCCTACACCACAAGGTGGTCAGGGTATTATGTCTTTGTGCATTTGTTTGTAACAGGCAAAAGGAGACGAGATAGACCCATAGTTCCTTTTGATGATCTGCATAGAATCACATTCTGAGTCGATTTATGCATGTTCGTCCGTCCGTCTGTCCGTCCGTCCGTCTGTCCATGTATTTTTGTAAACAAAGTACAGGTCGCATTTATTGCCCGATCCAGATGAAATTTTGCACAGATCATTTGTTCGGCCCAAGGACGAACCCTATTGAAATTGGAGATAATCGGTCAAAATTTAGATATAGCTCCCATATATATCTTCGTCCGATTTGCCTTTTATTGTGCACCAAACGTGTAAACTCAGTCCGAATAGTATGGAATTTCGCATGTACGATCAGATTGGACCTCAAAATAAGTACGCCAAATTTCATCGAAATCGGTTCAGATATAGCTATCGCTCCCATATATATTGTTCATCCGATTTGTTATTTTTGTCCTCCGCAGCCGTAATATGCACTCAGTAACAACAATATTTAGAGAAATTTATCAAATACAGCTCAGAAATACATTTGCTAAATTTTATCGAGATCGGTTCAGATTTGGATATAGCTCCCACATATAACTTCGTCCGATTTACATTGGATTGTGCACCAAAAGTCTAATATTTGCCCAAATTGGATGAAATTTGGCACTTACAACCGAATTGAGTCTGGAAGCTAGTATGTCAAATTTAGTGAAGATCGGTTCAGATATAGCTATAGCTCCCATATATACTGTTCATCCGATTTGTCATATTTGTTACCCACAGCCGTAATATGCACTCCGTAACAACGATATTCAGGGAAATATATCAAATAGAGCTCAGAAATATCTTTGCCAAATTTTATCGAGATCGGTTCCGATTTGGATATAGCTCCCATATATATTTTTATCCGATTTCAGATTAATTGTGCACCAAATGGGCAATACAACTCCGAATTTTAAAGATACAAATGCTTCGGCATATTTAGTTCTTTGAACTTTAAATTATAATAATAATCATAGCGTGTATGATTGAATTCTCCCATAAAAACTTTTAATTGTTATGCGCAGCTCAACTAAATTAGCAAAGTGGTGTAGGGTATCATAAAGTCGGCCCCGCCCGACTTTAAGATTTTCTTTACTGGTTTTATATTGAAAACAGCTTATGTTGGACGCCACTAAAAATTAAGCATC